GCCGGCAGGGCGCACGCGCGCGCGGGGCGGGGCGTGGTCACGTGGCGGGCGCGGGGCGCGGGCGCGGCCGCAGGTAGGTGCTCGCGGGGCCCCGGCGCGCCCCCCGCCCCAACCTCTGCGCGCGACCCCTCGGGCGGCCCGAGCGCCCCCCTCCCCTCGCGCGCGCCCGGCCCCCGGCGGGCGCCCCGGGGAGGAGGTGGCCCGAGCCGAAGCCTCCGCCACGTGGGCGGCGGTGCTCCCCGGCAGGGGCTGGTTTCCGGTGGCCGGAGGACCCTGCCGCTCCCGGGGCGCCCCCTGCCCTGCGTGCCCGGCGCCAGCCTCCCGGCGGCCCTCCCTCCAACGGCCCGCGGTGGGGGAAGGAGCGCCCCGGCTTCTCCCTGGGCGGGCTCTCCCGGTCGCCGGGCTGGGAGCAGGCTGGCCCGCCGCCGGTGCGTCTGCCCGCAGCCTCCCGGCGGACCCCGGGCCTGTCTGGGGATCCCGGGGCGGAGGACACCAGCTCCCCAGGTGGGAGCGGGAGCAGCCTGCCCCTTCTGCCTGCCGGCGGCTTTCCCCCTGACCGTGGGTCCCTATCCCCTGCTCCGAGTAGCACCCGAGCCACGGCGCGCATTTTCCCCACCCGCTCAGACTGGCCCTCGCGCCTTCCTCCTCCTTGCCTGTGCCTAGAACCCTTCCCCGCCCTATCCTGGACCCCCAAGTCACACCCAGCCCAAGTTCCTTTCTTCGGGTCCCAGGCTTCTCTTTTGGGCACTTAAACACTGATGAATCTTAATTACTTCATAATAACTTATGTCCCGTCCCCTCCCCATGGGACCAAGTTCCCTGAAGACCTGGAGGGACCTGCAGATCTGCCTGCTCCTGTGATCGGTTGGCACCTGGGCTCCTGCTCCTTGTTTCCCAGCCACAGACCTTGTCCCTGTCCCTGAGAAACAGGGCCCAGATGGGTCAGGCCCAGCTGGCCAACCTCAAGTCCCTCTTCCCCGCTACCCCCAGCACTCACCATCAGTACCTTTTCTCAGAGCTAGGCCTTGGCCCTTCCTGGGGTCCCAGCCAGGGTGGAAGCTGGTGGGCTGCCCTTTTGGTGAGCTGGAGGGAGAGGGAGAAACAAAAGGAGGCAAGGGGGTAAGTGCTGAGAAGGGGGCTCAGGAGGGAGCAGGGGATGGGGTGGGGAGAAGTCAGACGTGAAGGGAGAATTGGTCTGCTCCAGGATGTACTCTGGAGGTCATGCACCCATATATATGTTCCTTAGAGCACCCCCTGACCCCAGCAGTCCCCATGGGGAGGTCTTCAGACGAGCTGGGTGCCTTTCTGCTTTCCGTTCTGCTCCCGGGCCCCATACACATGTGCCTGCCTCTGGGGGTCTTGGGAGGGGAGGCAGCATCTACTGATGGGGGAGAAACAAGAACAGCGGCCTAAGGGACCCTGCCCCAAGCTCCCAGACCCCCCTCCCCGGAGACACCAGTGTCCTTGGGGGGCAGGCGGGCGGGCTCAGCTCACACTGCGGGCATCCAGCCAACGGGAAGGTGACAGAATGAGAGAGCTTGGCAGTTAGCACAGTAGGTCATTCAACTGGAAGTTGGAAGATTTCAGTTGGAGAGATACAGAAAGTCAGGCAAAAGACACGTGGGAGGGGCGCCTGGGTGGCTCCGTGGGTTAAGCCTCTGCCTTGGGCTCAAATCATGGTCTCAGGGTCCTGGGATCGAGCCCCGCATCGGACTCTCTGCTCAGCAGGGAGCTTGCTTTCTCCTCTCTCTCTGCCTGCCTCTCTGCCTACTTGTGATCTTTCTCTCTGTCAAATAAATAAATAAATAAAATCTTTAAAAAAAAAAAAAAGACACGTGGGAACTGGGAGAGGAGGGAGAAAACAGAGGAATAGTCCAAGAACCCCAGAGAGATCAGGGGGAATGGAGGGAAGTTGGAAATCATGGAAGGGGATAGCCAGGACCCTGCCGCTTGTCCTGGGAAGGTGAGCGGAATTGGGACCCCCGGGTGCTTCCAGGCCATATTCCGAACAATCAGGAAAAAGAAGGCTTGGGTTCCAGGGGAGAGGGATCGCTGGAGCAAGCTGCTTCGGGCCGGGGAGGTCTTCACCCATCTGCTCGGCATCCCACAGGATGCGCTCCAGCAAAACGAGGGAGGAAGTGCATGGTGCCTCGGGAAGGCGAGTGGAAGGGAACGGTGCCAGGCACTGTGCAGAGGGGCACTGGCACGTGGGGTTGGGGTGCCGTCGAGTGCTCAGCTGTGGACCGCCAGCCATCAGGAGCAGAGATTATGGCCAGTTCCAAAGGAGGCCGTTGGACAAAGAGATTAGGAGTCAGAGGAGGAGAGGGGAACCGGCGCTCCACATGGTCAGGACTGGCGAGTGCTGGCCGGTTTGGTGTCCGTAGGGATTGGGCAGGAATGGCCCTGTGGTGGCACATGTTAGGGACGCCTGGGGGGCTTGGTTGGTTCAGCATCTGCCTTTGGCTCAGGTCATGATCTCAGGGTCCTGGAATTGAGCCCCATGTTGGGCTCTCTGCTCGGTGAGGAGCCTGCTTCTCCTTGTGTGCGCTCGCTCGCTCTCTCTGTCAAATAAATAAATAATATCATTAAAAAAAAGATCTGTAAACTGTTGACCAGTGAGCAGTTTGCAGGCTGAGGTACTTGGGAGGAAGAGGGTGGTGTCCGTGGTATGGCTTGAAACGGCAGAAACGGTGGGGTGGGGGATGGGCTAAGGCCACGCCGCAGCACGGTGGGCGGGGACAGGCGCTCTGCCTGGCACTGCTGACACGCCCGCGGGTCATTCTCAGGTGGAGGGCTGTTCTGGGCACCGTGTGTGTCCACCAGTATCCCTGGACCCCCCTCCGTGATTCCTGGAGCCACCAGCGCCAACCCCTGCATGTGACTTTCCTGTGGTCTTAGCAAATTACCGCAAACTGGGTGGCTTTAAACCCCCGTGTATTCTCTCCAAGTCCTCGGCCGAGAAGTCCCAGGTCAAGGTGTGGCAGGACCATCCGGTGTCTGAAGGCTCTAGGAGGGTCCTTCCTGCCTCTCCTGGCTCCTGTGTGGCCAGCCGTCCTTGGCGTCCCCTGGCTGTGGACACATCGCCCCGGTTTGCCTCCGTGGTCATGCGGCTTCTCCCCATGCGTCTGCGTCCCCGTCTCTGTCTCTCAGGATTTGGGACCACTTTGCCCCAGCGGGACCTCAGTTTCACCAACGACATCTGCCAAGACCCTGTTTCCAAGGAAGCTCCCATTCGCAGGTTGAGGGGTTGGGACAGGAACAGTGTTCTGTGGGGAGACACAGTGCAGCCCACAGTACCTCCCGGGGCAGGACGACCCAAACCGTCCTGGGACAGAGTCCCTGGGCACAGTCGCTGCGGCTGAGGACTGCTTACCCTTCCGTGCCAGCCCGTGTGCGGCCAGGGCAGGTGGCGCAGACAAAGGTCACGGTCAGATCCTGCGAACGCTGCTCTGCGTCCAAGACCCCTCTTGGCAGAGGGCTGAGACAGTGTGGGAGCAGGGGTGGAGCTGGGAGGTGGCGCGGGCCCTGGGCGGCCTCCACCAGCCCAGGTGTCGGCCCCTGGGCTGCACCTGTCTGTTTACCGTATTTCAGAACCTTCCATGACCAAAACAAACAAAAAAAACCATATTTTTAAGTTATAAAAAGTGTCCTTTGAGAGATGCGTTTGCAAGTGTCTGTGAACGAGGACAGCGGGAAAGCTGAGTGAGGTGAGGTGGGCATCCCTTCTCTCTACCTTGTCCTGCAGGAGGGAGGCGCTGGTGAACGTGTGGGAGCTCGGCGACGGGACTCCCGCTGGGGCTGCCCTCCGGCTGGCTCGCGACAGACCCTTGGCGGGGCAGGATGTCAGAGGCGCTCTGCCCGCCACGAACCCACAGAACGGAGAACGGACTGAAGCTGGTACACCCGTGTTCACCGCGGCCGGAAGGTGTAGACGACCCAGGCATCCGTCCGTGGGTCCATGGACACGCGTCCCCCACGCGCGGGATCGTCCCCGGCCACCAGCAGGAGTGAGGCCCCCACACGCTGCCCCAGGGATGGACCCTGAGCCCACGGTGTGTAGGAAGGGAACCAGACACAGGAGGCCACGCGGGGTGTGAGTCCACACGTGTGATACGCCCAGACCAGGCCCCTCCATAGACGGGAAGGGGGCTCGCAGGGGTTGGGGGCTGGGGAACAAGGATAAAAAGCAGCATGAAGGAAAATGCCAAAAGAAACCACCGAAACAGCAACAGGGGGTCTGCTTGGGGGCTGGGGCTGGGTGTGGTTGTTCCCCGGGAGGATTTTCATGGGAGTTGCCCTCTTCGTTTTTAACTTTTTTTTTTTTTTAAGATTTTATTTATTTATTCGGCAGAGAGAGAGAGATCACAAGTAGGCAGAGAGGCAGGCAGAGAGAGAGAGGGGGACGCAGGCTCCGCACTGAGCAGAGAGCCCGATGCGGGGCTCGATCCCAGGACCCTGAGACATGACCTGAGCCGAAGGCAGAGGCTCAACCCACGGAGCCCCCCAGGCGCCCCCAATTTTTTTAAAACAGTTCTTCAAACCTTGGGGAAATGCCGCGTTTGGGCCCCCAGCTCCAGGAAACCCGCGGGGGGCCCAGGCTTGTGCCCGTGCTGCCCGAGCTGGGGGCAGGGTCAGCAGCGCCCCTCCTCGTGGGTGCATCCGAAAGAGTAAGGACAGTCAAGGGGAGGAAAAGTCGCCGAAAAATATAAAACTGCAGAACTGTCTTCCCCGGACGGTGTCTATTTTCAGCCTCACTGCTGACCGGAGCGCGTGCTGGGGGCCGTCTGGGGCGGACGCGAGCTCGACCTGGCGCACCAGGCACTGCTGAGACAGTCCCCAGGCAAGGAAGCCCCTCTGTCTTCTTCTCGTTTCAAGTGTGTGTCTGAATCCCCCTTCGTTGACAGTGTTGCGTTCGTTCCAGAAAACACACCTGTTTTTACTGTCCGAGTGACCAGCTCCACTCTCCCCGGTCGACACCCTGGACGGTTCTGTCGGCCCCCGTGTCGGGCCGCCCTGCGCCGCCAGCCCCTGGGACCAGGTTGGCCTCCTTCCGGGGCTTTGCGGTGACGGGCTGGCTCTGCGGGGCCTCCCGGTGCACGGTCGGCACGTTTCTTGAACTCAGCCTAAGTTAATTTTTGTCTTTTTTTAAAGATCCCTGGCCGGGCAGCTGTGTGTCCGCGCTTCAGGCCGCCAGCTCCCCCTGTAGCCGTGGCGGGGGACCCTCCGTCTCCTTCCTAAGCGGCTGGGGTCTCTGCACACGCTTCAGGCTCCCGAGACCCTGACGTCTTCCTGTCGTTGGAATCAAGAGGTAATTCGTGTGCATCCCAGGTTGGCCTTTTTAATTAGTTGAATTTACTTTTTAGTAAATTTGAGAACTTGTGTGATCACCAGACTGTCGACATTAGAACATTATCGTTATGCAGACAAGAAACCACGTCCCCATCGGCAGCGCCCCCCCTCCTAACCCCTGAGCCCTGGTGCCCGAGAACCGGCTTTCTGGCTCGGTGGATTGACCTGTCCTGACCTCTCGTGCACAGGGTCGGGGGGCGTCCCCGGGGAAACAGAGTGGTAGACTCGAGACAAGGACACTGGCTCCCCGGTTACGGAGTCGCGCTGAAGACCCGAGAGGGTCTGAGGCGTGACCAGTCCTCATCCGTGGCCGGGGCCGTCCGAGGCAGGACCAGGCGTTCGGCTCAGCTTGGGGAGGGGGAAGCAGTCTGCCCTCCCTCCATCTCGGGTTGCATTCAGGCCCCCAGTGGCTGGAACGGGTGCCCGCGTGGACCAGCAGAGGTCTGCTCTCCGTCTGCTGAAGAAATGCTCATCTCTTGGGCGCTGGGTGGCTCAGTGGGTTAAAGCCTCTGACTTCGGCTCAGGTCATGGTCTCAGGTCATGGTCTCAGGGCCCGGGGATCGAGCCCCGCATCGTGTTCAGTGGGGAGCCTGCTTCCCCCCCTCCACCTGCCTCTCTGCCTACTTGTGATCTCTGTCAAATAAATAAAATCTTAAAAAAAAAAAAAAAAGAGAGAGAAAAAAAAAAGAAATGCTCATCTTTTCCAGAAACAGCCGCGGGCACCCACAGAACTCACGTTCACCAGCTGTCTGGGTGTCCCTCAGTCTCAGCCAGTGACATAAAATTAACACCACACTGGAAAAAAGAAATCACGGTGGCCTTCTGTGTCTGGGTCCCTCCCCAGGCGTCGTGGGCTTGGGGTCCACCCCCGGGGCAGTGACGGGCGCCTCGCTCCCACTCACAGCCGAGTTTCCGTTTGTTCGTTGAGACCCTGGGGTTGTTTCCGCGTTCTGAGAGCCTGAATCTGGACCAGGCGCTACGGGATCTTCCAGGCAGCGTCTGAGCGGCACCCCCACCGCCCGGCCCTGGCCAAGGCTGAGTCCCTGATTTAGAACGGTACCAGGCAATAGAACTTTCCAGGTGATGGAATGTTCTCCAGATGCTGTGTCCGGTCTAGGAGCTGGTATTTTGGTCAGGTATTTTGGTTGTAACCAACCGAAACGGAGTCCTCTATGGCTGGTGGCCATCCTGTTGGACTATTCTAGAAATCGGAGCAAGCTGGTCCCTCTGCTCCAGCCCGTCTGGCCAGGTCTGGACCAGTAAACTCCCAGCCTGTTCTGTTCATGTCACTGCCTCCTGTCACCCCTAGGGTCCCTTCCTCCTCAATTCAGTGGATCCTGAGCTGACCGGTTCCCAGGCTTCTGAAGCCAAGTGCTCACACCCTCGAGGGGCCAGTGCGGGCAGAGGCTGGGGCTAGAGGGAGCGTGGAAGGAAGGGACAGATGGGCATGCCAGGACACAGGCTGCCCAAAGAGATAAGGAACCTCATCTTCAGGGTAATGCGGTTGGACAACTATAGTTGTCCCCCAGACATGTCCCTGTCCTGGTCCTGGGACCCAGGACATGTCCCCTCCTGTGGCAGAGGGGACCTTGTCACCGCCCCAAGGTGGGGGTGACCCTGGGTTCCCAGGGTGCCCGGCATCCTCACCAGAGGGAGGCAGAGGGCGGGGGTCCCAGAGACGGGCAGACCCCACGCTGCTGGCAGGGAGGATGGAGGGGGGCCGCGGGCCAGGAAAGGGCAGGACCCGGGGCCTCCCTGGGGCCTGGGTGGGGGCAACCAGTCCTACCTGCGCCGCTAGGACTTCCGGGCCCGGAACTGTGAGAACCCACCCGTGCGGTTTCAAGTGGCCAAGTTGCTGGAGGCTCGTTGCCATGGCCGTGGGAGGCTCGCACAGGTGAGGTGTCCCGGGACCCTCGACGGCGTCGGGCGGGGGGAAACATGGCCTGGAGAGCTCTGTGCCTTCCCTGGGAGTGGGGGCGACTGAGCGGACCAGGCGGGGACCAGGGGTGGTTCTGATCTGCGGTCCCGGCCCCCAGCATGTGGCGCCGGCAGACACTGAAGCTGGACGCAGCAGGGCACCAGGCTGCCTGGGATCCCCTCCTGGGCCCTTGCCGCCGGGGTCTCTCTGGGAAGAGAGTTTGCGTGGGGGCCCCAGCTTAGGGTCAGCATGGGCTCTGGGGCGAGGGCCCTGTTGTGGGGGTGGGGACGCCAGACCACTGTCCTGTCCGCTGTGTGGCTGGACCCTTGGGCTGGGACCCTGGGCCCGTCCTAGCTTCTGAGGTTCCCAGGATTCGTGGCCCCTCAAGGCCTCTCTGGGTCTGGACTTGGGGAGTCAGGGAGACCCAAGTTCTCAGCTAGGATGGTCCCTCCAGCTGGGTCCCCTGGGCAAGCCAGGTACCCTGAGCCTGTCTCCCTTAGGGGAGCTGAGCCCCTCCAGGAGGGCGGGGCTGACTGCAGGGTAGAGCCCAAGCCTGGGAGGAGTTTGGGGAGGCTGGGGCTGCAGGCCAGGCTTTGACCGGCTGTGAGATGGGGACAGAAGACCTGCTGGGTCCAGGCAGCAGGGCAGACCCTCTGAGGCCTGTGTATGGGCAGGCGGCGGCCAGGCACTGGGCCCAGTAGGGTCACTTCCCTACGGGCGCCCTTCCCAGTCATCCTGCCAGTGCCGGCCCCAGGGGGACCCTCACTGCAGACTCGGGATGGAGGGCACGCGCGCCCTGGGGGCTCTGAGCCTGGTGCTGGGAGCTGAACCCCATCCTCCCTGGGAAAGGCCAATCGATCCCCCGGGTCCCCTTTGGTCATCCAGCTCACGATAAGGTGACCGACATGAAACCGGGTGCTGAAGTCCTGGCCTGGGGTCCATCTCCCCAGACACAGCGCTGTGGGTCTGCACAGTGAAAGCTCCGAACCACACTCACTGAGACGGCTTTATTCAACAGTCGCCCACAGGACACGGCGCCTCCCGGGCCCCACAGTCCCCCCCGCTGGGCAGGGGGCCCCAGCACCTGGACCTCAGGCCCATGCAGGGGCCAGCCCCAGACAGAGCTCCCTCAGCAGCTGTGACCTCTGAAGGGCAGAAGGCCATGTGGCCGCAGGGGAGGGGCCCTCCTGGGGGCCGGTGGTGGCCCGCGCCCCCCTGCGGGCCTGCACGCACTCCCACGCTGGTCCCGGAGGATTTGTGCTTTGATGGGCCGGGCCCGATGCTGCCGTGTGCAGAGCTGGGCCGGCGTCCTCGGACCGCCAGGTGCCTCCCAATACCTACCCCACCCTCCGCATCAGCCAGGGTGACAGCCACACACGCAACAGCCCAGGTCCCACACAACAGTCTCGGGCTGTGGGCCGGGGCTGAGCAGGGACGGGAGGGCTCCCCTCACCCAAGGCACTCCGGCTAAGAGGTGGCAGGCGGAGTGACACGGTTCCAACAGCCTCCGCACCCCGAGCTCCTCTGAGGCCGCTGCTCTGGGCACCGGGTGCTGGAAACGCTGGACCCACAGAACACAACCCAGGACAGGACGCCGGAGAGGCCGTGGCCCCAGCACCAGCTCTGGCCCTGAGCGCCGGGTGTCACCGTCCCCGCCACAGGGGGAGGGGGACGAGGAGCCCTGGCCGGTAGCACAGCTGCCTCGGAGCCCCGGCCCGGGATGTTGGCCAGGAGTTGGCTGGCGCCGGTGGCCAGCTGACCGCGGGCAGGGTCGGCTGCGCTGTCAACAGTGAGCTCCCCCGACACAAAGGCAAAGTTCGCCTCCACGTGCAGCAGACACACGGGCTGAGCAGTCGAGCGGACGTCCAGCCTCGTTTGTACATGGGTTTATTGAAGGAAAACGTCTGGGCTGTGCGTTTGCCTTCAGATGAGCTCGGAGCGGTCACGGCCTCGCCCGCCAGTGGGCGCGCAGGGCAGCCTTCCCGCACCCCCTTCCTGGAGGGCTAATGTGCGGACCCTGGAGCAGCGTCCCTCACACGCTAGGAGCAAGGAGCAAGACTGTTCCAAAAAATATTTCTCCAGCCACTTGGGGACCCTCACAGGCCGCCCCGCGGCAGCTGTCCTGTGTGACGCGGCCGTGGGGACGAGGCTGGCCCCGAGTCCAGGGTGGGGGGGGGGGCTCCAAGGAGGGCCCACCGCAGCCAGGCCCAGGGCGACGGGGGCTTCTGCACCCAGACCCTTCAGAGGAGAGCAAACGTGGGGGCCCGTCAGGCAGGAACTGTCCTCCAGCCGTGCCCCCGTGGACCCAGAGGAGGGGATACGCCTGGGAAGGCCTAGGAGGGGCTGCCATCATCCCCGGCCTGCTGGGCCGGGCCCCAAAGCCTGGTCCGAGTATAGAGACAGCGGAGTCTGCAGGGGCTGCCCGCACGCAGGCCTCCACGGGGCCTCTGGAGAGACGGGGAGAGGGCGCCGTCAACACCCGGGCTGGGAGCCACCCCCTGCACGGGGCACGTCCTTCCTCCCCGTGGCCCCGCCCAAGCGCCGGCACCTGCTTTACACGTGCTCCATCTCCTGGTCCTGGTCGGGCTCGTCCTCGTCGTCCTCGTCGTCGTCGTCGTCGTCGTCGTCGTCGCCAGCCTTGTCCAGAGGTGCCTCGCCGTCCCGGGCCAACTCCTCCACGTGGGCCAGCATGTCGGCCATCAGCGCCTCCTCGAGCCGCTTGCGCACCTGCTGCACCAGCTCCTCCTGCTTCCTGTGGACGCACGGGCTGCGCTGGCCGGGCACGCGCCACCCCGGGAGCGTCCTCTGCCCTCACGCCTCACCCGGGCTGCACAGTGGCCTGCGCACAGCCCGCGGCCCTGTGGCTCCGCTCCTGGGCCCTACACTCCGCCTCCGCTGGCGGACACGGGGGGCAGGGGTCCCCCCACCTGGCTGCCTTCCGTGGCTGCCCCCCACCGGCCGGCCTGTAGGCAGCGGCTGCCCAGCACACCTGTCTGCCGTCCGCCCGGGGCCCGGTGCATGGGCGCGTGTGACACCCCTCACTGTTGCTCGAGCGCGGTTTGCAAAGAGAAAAGGAACAACGGTGCTCGGTCACCGCAGCTAGCCAGGGCCACTCATCCAGCGAGTGGCAGAATTTTGGTGGAGAATTCTAGATGGAGAACGACTTTCTTGGGTCTTTTGCCTTGTTACGGCTGTCTAGAAGGCCACCAGCCTAGGCTGTGAGACCCTCCGCGTTCCCTCCCTGTGGCCGAGACCCTCAGCAGAATAGGAGCCGGCACGCTGTCTGGCGCCAGGCTGGGCCGGCGCCGGCTCCATCTTCCGGCAGCCCCCCATCTCCTCTCCAGACGGGCCCAGACCCCCCAGCTCCTCTCCAGACGGGCCCAGACCCCCCAACTCCTCTCCAGACGGGCCCAGACCCACTACCTAACTCATGACGTGACGTTCTCCTTTCTGTGGCTTTTCCTATTTCTAGACATTCTCCTCGGCTTTAAAAACCCGCTCGTCTTTGCAGACGATTGTGTTCTTTTCCTACACTTTCCATTCCCTGGAGACGAGCTCCTCTACGGGCTGGTGGGTGACTCTGTGTCTTCCCCACTCAGACACGGGAGGCTCATTCACCTACGACCCCAACTGTGAGCCACTCCTGGCCACGGCGCCGGCGCTCCCAGCCCTTCTGTGCGTGGGCTCCAGAAAGCCATGAACTTGTTCTGAACTCAGCGGCGTGTTGACACTTGAGTTGTGAGAACACAGGTCCCTCTTGGCTGGAGCTTCTAGAGGTTTCTGACCCTGCTGCCAGCTCACACTACACTATCTCCTCCCCGGGACGTCTTCCCAGATGGCTCTGGCACATGGGGGCCTCCTGCCCAGAGCCCACCTGCACCAGGCTTGGCTGGGAAGCCCCTCCGAGGCCCAGCAGCCGCAGGGTCCAGCCTAAACCTGGGCTGGCATTCGGGGCCTGTGGCGTGTTTGGCGGTACCCCTCTCCCCACTGCTCCCCCGAACCCGCCCAGCAGGCACCTGCAAGACTTCCTGAGCCCAAGGACGGGCAGGCCACGCCGCGAGCCTGTCCGCACAGGTCAACAATCACTTTCTCTTCCCAAGAACGTCCCGAGAGAACATGCACGCTTCCCATCCCCTCCGCAGGCCGCCTTGCCTCTGGCCTGCCCCAAACTCAAGACTCGCGGGAAAGCTCCTGCTGGTGCAAATCTGCCCTTGCTGTGGCCACGCCCGCTCGAGCCCCGGAGCGCGCCGGCACAGACGTGGGACTGCGGGAGACGGGGGCGCTCACACGGGCCGGGGGACGCGTGCACAGCAGTACCTGATGTCCTCATCGGTCACCATGAAGGCCTTGCAGAGGGGCTGGGCCGTGTTCAGCCACACCCCAGGGTTCTTCTCCACAGCGGCGGAGAGCTGCCCGGTGATGGGCATGGTGCTGGTGTGCAGGGCGCTGGCGATGGCCGACAGCAGGGTCTCATCCGTGCAGCCTGGCCCCACGCCTGCCGGCACAGCGGGGTGGTCACCACCAGGCACCTCAGGCCCCTCTCCCAGAGCCTCGGGTCTTGACCCCGATCTGCCCTTACGGACGCTCAGGCCCCGCGCGACGGAAGCAGAGTCGCGCCCACCCGTGATAGAGCGGCAGTGTTTCTACGGTGCAGAAGCAAAACCACATGTGCCCCGTCTTTGCCGGCCACCCCCCCCCACAGCCTGTGAGCCGCCTCCCACCTGTGCTGCGGCAGGCCCGCCAGCTGGTCTCCAGGATCAGGGGCCCAGGGCCCGGACCAGCCCCGTCCTGGACGGAGGGGAGCCTCACCCCTGCGGGGCCAGACACTGGGCCCCCCACCCCTCTGCCTGTAGGAGCACTTGCGCCTGGCACCCTCGCCCCCTACGGTTACCTTGCAGGCCCTTGGGGAGGTCCATGGTCTTGACGAGCTCCTCGGCGATGTCGAAGGCATTGAGACCACTCAGCTTCTTCTCCCAGAAAAGCTGTCACCAGACAGAGAAACACAGAGCTGAGGGGCATGTTCCTACAAGCGGCAGCCCTGGCCAGTCCCAATGACAGCGGAGCCCTCCACACATGGGGCAGCGATCTCAGTGTGACCTCTGACCCCCACATGCCAGACCCACCTGCCTAGGAGCGAGGGGGCGGTGGGACCCGTGGGATTTCCCGCCATACCCGTCCTCTGAGGCCATAGAAACCGCGACCCGGGGTGTCAGCCCTGCCATCGATGCTGACCATCTACAGCTCCCAAACCACGGCGCAACCCCAGGGAGGCAGAACCCCCTTCAGCCTGAAACTTCACTTCTCAGTCCACCGTCCACCCAGGGCTGAGCTGCGAGGCCCCCCAGAGACCCCACCACGGCCAGGCAGCACGTGTGAGGCAGAGGACGCTGCGGCCCCACAGAGCGAGGAGCTCACACGCCCAGACGGCACCGCGGGACTCTGGGGACCGCGTGCGGAGAGGCACGGTCCGAAGCGTGGGGGCAGACACACAGATCTGACTAGTCACTTAGGTGGCGATGCCCTGATGCCCCCGGGGGGACACGAATGACACGGGACCCTGCCACCCCGCTGCCCACAAGGACCCGGCCTGGGGCCGTGCACGGGGCCTGGGGCTCACCTGCCGAGGCTGCTCCACGGCCTTCTGTGGGTCACTCTTCACCTTGTTGCTGGGGTGGTTGGTGATCTTGGTCACTGGCTGCTTGAAGATAGACGCCGTCTGTCTGACGGGGAGGGCCGTGTTCAGGTCCGGCTTGCCCTACGGAGACATGGAAGCTGGCACGGCGGCCCCGGGCCTCAGCGGGCTCTCCCAGGCAGTGGGAAGACCCCTCCCCGTGGGCTTTGGTGAACAGACCCCGTGCCCCTCAGTCACCAGCGTCCCCCACACCCTCCCCAGAGCCAGGGGTGACAGCAAGTGCAGCCCAGTCTCCTTGCTGCCCACAGCGGGGGCGTGCTGGGGCTCCGGGTGAACCCCACCCGGCCTCCTGTACCATGTTCTCCCCGGAGCACGGTGTAGAGGAGGCCCTGCCGCGACTGTCCTGCAGCACACACGCCCATCAGAGACACAGGGTTCCTGGGCACCTGCATGTGGCCCGCCAGCCACTGAAGACAGGCTGCCCTCCAGTCCCTACAGGGATGCCAGCACGGCCAGGTTTGGGGGGACAGAGGGACAGGCACACCGGGGACGGCCAGGGGCTGCGGACCTGTGGCCTCTCCCAAGGACAAAGTGAAGGTGGGTGCTCTCCTTCCTTCCACTTTTCTGTAGCTTCCACGCCTCTCTCAGCAGACGGAGGCGCCCTTAGTAGCATGACAGACTGAACCGTGGAAACCTCTCTCCACCCAAGAGTAGAGCTGCTTTTTTTTTTTTTGAAAGATTTTTTTTTTTAATTTTAAATTTATTCATTTGAAAGCTTGTGCAATGAGAGCAGGAGGGAGGGGCAGAGAGAGAGAGAGAGAACAGGCTCACCACTGTGCAGGGAGCCCGACGTGGGGCTCCATCCCAGGACACTGGGGTCACGACCTGAGCCAGAGGCAGACAACCAACCACTAAGCCACGAGGTGCCCCAAACATTTACTGATCCACGAGGGAGAGCCTGGGCAGGGGGAGAGGGAGAAGCAGACTCCCGCGCTGAGCACAGAGCCTGCGTCGGGACTCGATCCCAGAACCCCGGGATCACGACCTGAGCCAAAACCAACAGTTGGGCCCTCCACAGACAGGGCCCCCCAGGCACCTTCATTCATGGATCGTGTGTTAAAGTGACCCCTGTGCCCGCCGCGGGCCCGAGCGCCTGAGCCTGAGAGGAGGGCCGCGCACCGGCCACCCTGTCCCGCCCCACGGCTCACCTTGGCCTGGCTGGCCGAGTCGTAGCGGACCCTCTGGCGGCTCCGGTTCATCTTGCTCACGAGCATTTTGCCTGTCCGGAAGTCGAAGGTGCTCAGGTCCATGGAGCCCCCCAGGTACCGCGCCAGCTGGGGCTTGCTCCGGAACTTCTTCCCACTGGGGCTGCGGACGGACAGGCGGTCAGCGGCGGGCAGGGCGTGCTGGGCCAGCCCCTGCCGTGTCCCCAGGGCTGCCTCCCGGCCGGAAACCCCAGCAAACCTCAACGCTGAGAACGGGGCTCAACACCCTGATGCAGAAGGGTGGGGCCCAGTCCCAGGAGCCTGGCTCACATTTCAGAACATTCCAGAAACACAACTAGGCCACGTTCTTGTGAAAGACCCCAGGATCGCAGGTGGCTGAGAGACAACCCCTAACCAGTCTCCTCCCCGTGGGTACCATGGACGGACTAGGACATCCTGGGGGTGCGGTCAAATCTCAGGTTAGGCTTCTGGGCCAGGACCCCAAGAGCTGCTCGGCGGGACCTGCTGGGAAGTCCAAGGCCAGGTGTTCTGAAGTGGGGACGCTCGTGATCCCGCTCAGCTCGCGGACGGTGTGGGCCTGTCTCTCGGAGATGAGCGCCGACCCTCGGGGGCCCTGCCCAACGCACCAACAGCACCGGCGGGCGTCAGTAACCGCTGGGCGCGCCGCCTGCCACTTGGGACACGGACGGCACGGCAGCCCCACTCGCCCAGCGACCTGACGGGAGACACCCGGTGTTCAGAGCGGCTGACTCAGGGAGGGCGTGAGGTGAAAGCGGCCGAAATGTGCACTGGGATGGGGAAACGGGTACACACACGGTCCCCCATGCACAGGAGTGTCCCTGGCCGCGAGCGGGAGGGAGGACGGACCACAACGCACAGGGAGGGAAGCGGACACAGGCCATGCAAGGTGTGAGTCCACGTGTGTGACACGTCCACGGACGGGAAGGGGGCTCGCGGGGGCCAAGGGCTGGGGAGGGGGGTGGTCACCGCTAATGGGGACGGGGCCCACCTGGGGAGGGGGAATGACTTAAGGTTAGCCCTGGTGAGGACTGCACGACTGTGACATAGGGCTCGGCCGACCTGCACGCTTCCAGCGGGTAAACCACCGAGCTGCCAGAGAAAGCACTCGTGTGGGGCCCAGCAGGCCCAGTGCCTCTAATCCAGGCAACAGCACGTCTGTCCCCCGAGCCTCCCAGGGACCATGGATGGCAGCGTGGAAGCGCAGCAGAAGGAAACCCCTCCCCTCCAGCATCAGGACCCACGTAGTGGCCGGCTGCACTCGGCTCTGGTACCCCCACCAGGGCCTCTGGACAAGCAGGGCTGTGGCTGCAGGCTGGGCGATTCCCTGGGGCCCGGGCGCCTCTGCGAGGACCAGGAGCCCAGCACGCAGGGCCTCGGACTCCTGGCTTCGGGACGACTGACTGCTCCACCACACCGGGCCAGCTTGCGGGCACACTGAGCCTACGTGCCCAGAACAGCAGGAAGGCATCAGGGTCAGATACGGCCACAGAGGAAGGAGAGGACGCCTCAGAATGCGCCAGCCTTTCTCTGCCTCCAGTCACCACCCCCCCCCCCCCCCCCCCCCCCCCCCCCCCCCCCCGCTACATGAGAACAGCAAATGGACAAAGAGCACAGGTAAGAGGCCGCGGATACAGGGCACTGGCGGTTAAGGGTCTGGGGCTTTCGGGGTGAGGGAAATGTGGAGGTGGCCACACCCGTCTGTGAAAGTGCTAGAAACCGGTCAATTGTGCACTTCAAACGGGAGAACTGTCCGCACGTGAATCGTTCTCTCAATGAAGCTGTTCGAGAGAGAGAGACTAGCTCCCGGGCGCTGGGGCAGTGATGCTAACGGACAAAGGGCTCATTTCGGAGTGATGGAATGTTCTGGAGCTAGACAGAGGTCATGGCTGCACAACTCTGTGGGTACACTAAAAACAGCACACCACGGTGCGCGCTGCTGACAGAGCGCGGACGTATCTCAACTTGCGAAAGCGGTTCGCGGCCCCGCTCTGGCGCCGGAAGACGTCGCTGCCGGCCCACCGAGAACCACCACCCCCCGTAGCTCTGAAAGCGCACGTGTGAAAGTAAGAGCACTGTGGCCTCTCTGGGAGCGGGGCCGAGGCTGGAGGGCACACACCAGCAGCCAGAGGCGGAGGGACGCAGGGCTGCGGCTGGCCCGTCAGGTGGCCGGTTGAGGCGCGAGGAGCTGCGCCCCAGCCTTGAGCCCCAGCCCTGAAGATGGCTGCAGGTCGGATGTGCAGCCCGGCCTCCCATCACAGGAAGGGCTGCTGCGAGGGTCGCCAGGAGCAGTGCAAAGGCACCCACGACACCCCAGCAGCAAGGTACAACCTCAGCCTGCTGCCCCAAGGAAGGGGGCCACTGTGCTAAGTCCCTCCTGCTTTTCCTGAGTATGGTTCTACTTCTAACGTGAGGTCCCCTGGAGAAGGCCTCCCTACTCCGTACCCCTCCAAAGACCTATCCCCGAGGTCAGGGTACTGACCTGCCACAGCCCCTCAACCTCCTGCTGGACAGAAGATGCCAGACACGACTTTCACAAAGAAAATGCACGGCTGCAGACCAATGTTCCAGCCCCCCCGAAAACAATCTGTGGGGTCGCTCCACCTCTCCTGCATGAGTCTTGCCAAGAACACACTCCCTTCCCCCACTTGCTCTATGGACAAGGAAATCGAGGCCCACGTGCTCCTAGGGACAAGGCTTGGACCCCACACCAGGTCTGCTGGACTCAAGGCCCTCGTGCCCTCCCTCCTCTCTGCACTGAGAACGAGGAGAAACCATCCACGCTCCTCCCCAGCCGCCTCGCTCAGCCGGAGCTCCAGTAGGTGGAGAGGCCAGAGACCCATGTTCTGGAAAACACCATGGTTCCAGGTCAAACCTCCCAGCGGGAGTGAAGGTGACACCCCCTGCCTGGTGGGTCACCCAACTCAAAGACTTGGGAATGGGAGGGGACTCTCCCGACACTTCCTCCCACTCAGTGGTCATGGGAAAGCTGGCAGTCTATCTGTACCCCTGTCTGGGGCTTTCCCCACTTGACAGACCCCCATGCTCAGGTCCAGGGCCTCAGAGGAAGACCCCACTGGACTGAGGCCCTGAGAGATGCACACACAGGTGGGGACGGAGGTGGAGCAACGTTCTCAAGGTGCTTCCACCCCGCTGCCCTTGGCTCAGCCTCCGGGGGCCTCTGCACAGCACGCCTGCCGCCAGGACAGCCCCTCCCAGCTCCACGGCCCTCCGGGACCGGCCCCAGCCTCACCCAGCACCCCATGGCCGGCCTCACAGAGCCCTGCACTTCTCAGCGGATGTCATCACCTGCAACCATGGAGCAACGGGCAGCCGCCTGCCGCAGCCGCCCAGGAAAGGAAGGCGCGGGTCTGACTCCCAGCGGCACAGCCAGAACCTGGGCCAGACCCCCAGCGGGCGCAGCTGAAGGCTGGAGCCGGAGAGACATGCCTCAGCCTTGCGCTCTGACAGGGACACAGACGCGCGGGCACGCGCGGGAACAGAGGGGGCTCCTCACGGACCCAGCAGCACAGAACCACCGCAGCCAGCACGGCTGGGACACGACGGCCAGCAGCGAAGGACGGGGACCCCGAGAGCCGCTGCGGCGGTCACACTGCTTCAGTGCCTGACATGACAGGGTCCCCGATCTTCCGGGGCCCAGAACCCGCACCGGGGTCGTGGCCGAGGCGCCGGCCCTTCCTTTCCCGCCGGCTTCGCTCCTTCCCCCAGGCGGCCAGCAAAGGCCCCGGAGGGACCCGAGCGTGGGGTGGGCGGGACAGTAGTCCCGCCCCGCCTCGGCCTCGCCCGGGCGGTTTCTGGGCGCTTCAACACGTGGCGGGTGTCCGCGACCTGAGCGCGCCCCAGGCCGCTGCAGCAGGGGCTCGGACACAAAGCGTCGGGCCGCGCTCAGAAAGGGAAGAGGAGGGGGAGGGCAGACGGCAGGTGGCCGACTGTCCGGGGCCGGCCCGCCGCCGCCCACCAGTTCTTCGTCCCACCGCCGAGCCCGCGGGAGGGGCGCTCACGGTCCCGCGGTCCCCCCGCCCCCGCTCCCGGCGCCCCCGCCGCGGGCTGCGCGCGCGCCCCGCGTGATCCAAGGGACAGCCCAGCTCCCACCCCCGCCTCCCAGCGGCATCTGGCCCGCGCCGGGCGCCCCTCGCCCCGCCGGCCGGTGTGCCGCGGCCGCCGAACAAAGGCCGCCGCCCGGCTCGCGCCGCCCCGCACTCCACGCGGCCGCGGGGGAGGGGGAGGGCACGCACGCGCACTGGCCCGGGTCCGCCGCGCGCCGGCACGCACGCACGCACGCACGACGCACGCGCGGGGCCCAGGCCGCAGCCCGGGTCGAGGCGCCCGGGCCGCCGCAGAGGCCGCTGGGAGGCGCCCGTTGGGGCCCTGCCCGGCCGGCACGTTCATTCACCTATAGTAAAAGACATCCCTGTGGCCGGCCGACAGCCCCGACCTTCTGGGCACTTCTTCCCTCTCCCAGCCCTGCGGGAGCGCCGGGCACTCCCACCTCTTCCGCTCCATCGCGCCCGGCTCCTCGGCCCGCCGCCGCCGCCGCCGCCGCCGCCCGGACCCCCGCTCGCCGCCGCCGCCGCCTCAGCTGCCTCCGTCGCCGCCGCCACTTGCCGCGGCTGTTCCGGCCCGCGGGCCCCCGCCCTCCGCCCCCAGCCGGGCACGCGCCGGCTTTGCCGCCCTTTCGGCCCCCTCCCCGCGCTCGCCAGCCCCCGCTCGGGGGGCCCGCTCCGCCCACCCGCCCGCGCGCGGGGCCCCGTGCTGCGCAGGCGCCGCGCGGGCCCCTCCCTCTGGGCGGTAGCCCCGCCCCGCGGCGGCCGCCCCAATCGGCGTGCTGCTAGGGGGCGGGGCTGATAGCGGCGAGGTGCCCGCCTGCCAGCCCGCCCCGCGCCTGCGCCCTGGGGCCGGCGGGCCGCGACGGGCTGGTCTGCAGCGTGGTTAGCTGGCGCGCTGTGCTGCTGGGGTCCTGCCTCCTGTCCCGTTGCCCTCGGGTCCCCGTTCGAATCTCGGGTTGCCCGCCCAGTACCGGGCCTTCACCCACCCGGCCAGCTCCGGCCCCCCGTCTCCCAGCCTTCAGGCGTGGTTACCCGCCGCCCTGCGCGCCCCATCCCTCCCGAAGCCTGGGAATGAGGGGTGACCCCCCCGCCCCCCGCGCCGCCGCAGTCCGGCCGCCTTCCGGTCCTGGGCTCCCGGACCTTCCTAAGAGACGCCGCTCCCCAGCCGGACAGACCGGCTACCCGCCCCGTCGGCCCCTGCCCTCGCCGGCGCAGGCCGGGTGCTCGGGAGACGACGACGGGGCGAGCGGAGGGAACTTCGGCCGGTGCGGGAGGGGCGGCCGGACCCCCTGAGCGGCCTGTCTTGGCGTCCGGTCCCGGGCGGCCGAGGAGCACGGCGATGGCGGGGGCGGGCTCCGCGGGGAAGCAGAAGTTGGCCTCCCCTGCAGGGGTCTTCCCAGCTGCGGTCGGAGGCCGGTCCTAGCCGGGGAACCCAAAACCGCCGCCCTCTCCTGGGCGTCTGCACAAGGTTAAGAAATAGAAACGAAGGAGCGCAGGTGTAACTTTTTGTTTTAATGGCTTCAGGCCCAGAATGTCGCTTCCGCAGAATCACAGATAAAGGGAACAGTGGGCAGACGGGCCCTCTGACCTGATCCATACAAAGCTGGGCTGGGGCACTAGATTCCTCTCTGGACGGTTCAGGCCAGAGCCCAGGACTTCAGGACCCTGACCTTTATGCAAGGCAATCCTGGTCACTACTGGGCTTGTCTTTTACCAGCTTGTATGATTTTATTTAATTTAAAAACTATAGTTACATATGGACATTGGGAAAGGTATGTGCTATGAAGTGTGTAAACCTGTCGATTCACAGACCTGTATCCCTGGGGCTAATAATATATGTTAATTAAAAATTGAAAATTAAAGAACGATAGTTACAAAGATAGGTTCATTGCAGTCAGTGAAACCACACGAAGACCTAAAGGAAAAAGTGTTAACCTTCTCAGGTGGGATCCCCAAGGACCACTCTCTGCTCCTGCTCTCAAGTCTGGGTATACCCCAAAGTGGAATTGCTGGGTCACGTGGTAATTCTATGTTCAAATTTTTAAAAGATTTTATTTATTCGAGTGCAAGCACGAGCAGGAGGAGGGCCAGAGGGAGAAACACACCTCCTGCTGAGCAGGGAGCCTGACTCAGGACCTGATCCTAGGATGGCAGAATGGTGACCTTAGCCAAAGGCAGGAGCTTCACTGACTGAGCCATCCAGGCGCTCTGCTCTCTCTGTTCAGTTCTTAGAACTGCCACACGGTTTTCCTGCGTGACGCCTGCCCCAGTTCACATACCTGCCAGTGGTGAGGAGGTCCGGCCTCCTCCTGGCACCAGCCCCAGCTCCATCGAGGGGAGGGACGAGGGAAGCCAGCTGGTCTCTGGTGGGGAGAGGACGGGGCTGGGGGAAGGCTCCAGTTTCACCACTTCTTGGCCAACGTTTGTCGTCTCCCGGTCCCCGCTAGCTGCACACCGGTGGGTGCGTGGTGCTGGGCCCCAAGAGCTGACCTTAAGAACCGCCACCCAATACGCATCCTAGGGGCCCCTCTCCATTCTCGGGCATCCAGCCTGCTGGCTCTCACTTGCTCCTGGGGGCGTTTGACCTTCTTGGGACCCAGCTGTCTCAGTAAGCAGACAGCCAGCCTTTGAGCACAACCTGGGGTAACCCCGGGGGATGATCCCCTGGGGGCTGGCTCAGGTGGACATGATGGGGTTTGCCAGCAGAGATGAGAGGCTGGGAGCCCTGGGAGGGGGTGGGGCAGTCGTTGCCACCCCCCACCCCACCCCACCCCCGCTGGTTTGCTGACACTTAGAAGCTCCCTTTCCTGGACTGGCTGTCTTGGGGCCGAGAAGACACCCTCTCCTGCCGTCTGCACAAGGTTAAGAAATAGAAATGAAATCAGGTGATGAGAGGAGCCACTGTGAGTGGCTGGGTGACTGTCTGAGGGCATCCTGGGCACTGTGGGGGACTGAGGATCAACTCTGACCCTGCTCACTCCATCCCAGGACTCCCCCAGTCTTGACCACAGATGTCCCCAGACAACAGTCCCTGAGTTAATACGAGGCAAGCACGGCACTCCACTGGGGCACAAATATATGGGGCACCGAAGACCTCAGTCATTAAAGTGAATGGCATTTAATACAATGCTGTAACAATTTATTTTTTTTATTTTTTTTTTTTAAAGATTTTATTTATTTATTTGTCAGAGAGAGAGAGAGAGGGAGAGAGCAAGCACACGCAGACAGAACGGCAGGCAGAGGCAGAGGGAGAAGCAGGCTCCCCGATGAGCAAGGAGCCCGATGCGGGACTCGATCCCAGGACGCTGGGATCATGACCTAAGCCGAAGGCAGCTGCTCAACCAACTGAGCCACCCAGGCGTCCCCAATGCTGTAACAATTTAAAATGAATGTAAAAGATCCATGATAGACAGTCAAATTTGTGTTTTTGGTGGCATCTGGGTGGCTCAGGTTGTGATACCAGGGTCCTGGGTTCAAGTCCTACATCGGGCTCCCTACTCAGCAGGAGTCTGCTTCTCCCTCTGCTTGTTCTCTGTCAAATAAATAAAATCTTTTAAAATAAATAAGTAAAAAATGTTTTAGATTTGTTTTGTTTTTTGTTTTTTTTTTTTTTAAAGATTTTATTTGACAGAGATCACAAGTAGGCAGAGAGGCAGGCAGAGAGAGGAAGGGAAGCAGACTCCCCGCCGAGCAGAGAGCCCGATGCAGGGCTCGATCCCAGGAACCTGGGATCACGACCTGAGCCGAAGGCAGAGGCTTTAACCCACTGAGCCACCCAGGTGCTCCCAAAATGTTTTAGATTTGTAATAAAAAAAAGATTTTATTTAGAGGCAGGGTGAGCTGGTGGGGGGTGTGCAAAGGGAGAGAGAGAATCTTTTAGATTTTTAAAAATTTATTTGTGTGTGTGTGTGTGTGTGAGAGAGAGAGAGAGAGAGAGAGAGAGAACACGAGCAGTGGGGACGGGCAGAGGGAGAAGCAGGCTCCATGCTGAGCAGAGCCCAATATGGGGCTTCATCGCAGCACCCCAAGACCACCACCCAAGCCGAAGGCAGGCACGTAACCAACTGAGCCACCCCGGCGCCCCGGAGAGAGAATCTTAAGCAGACTCCAAGCCAACGTGGGGCTTGATTCCACAACCCTGAGACCGTGACCTCAGCCGAAATTGGGAGTCTAACGCAGGGCATCTGAGTGGCTCTGTCGTTAAGCATCTGCCTTTGGCTCAGGTCATGATCCCAGGATCCTGGGATCGAGCCCCATATCGGGCTCCCTGCCTGGCGAGAAGCCTGCTTCTCCCTCTCCCACTCCTCTGCTGTGCTCCCTCCCTCTCGCTGTGTCACTCTCTGTCAAATAAATAAATAAAACCCTTTAAAAAAGTCAAATGCTTAACCGATTAAGCTATCCAGGTACTCCCAAGCTTGTATTTTTTTAAGATTCTATTTATTGACAGAGCACGAGCAGGGTGAGTGGCAGGGAAAGGGAGAAACAGGCTCCGTACTGAGTAGGGAGTCTGATGCGGGGCTCTATTCCAAAACCCCGAGATCACGACCCAGGAAGACTGAGTCGCCCAGGTGTCCCTTATTTACTTTAAAGTTTACTTTTTCTGTAATCTTGCTACACCCCACGTGGGGCTTGAACTCATAACCCTGAGGTCTACAGTCTCATGCTCTCCTGGCGGAGTCAGCCAGGTGCCTCCAAAGTATCAAGTTTTTAAACAAAAGGTTTCTTGGTGTTGTGCCGAGCCATTTGGAACCCCAAGACAAAAAGAGACATGATTCTTTTACGTGTTTTTATGTGGTTTTTAATAGTTAACTCCTCCCCACCGCCAGAACTTAAAGTGGTTGGAAAAGTACTAAAATACTGAAAAGTTGTATTAAAACTCACAATAGTTTAAGCCTCAATATTGTATTTATAACAGCATCTGACTTGGAATTTTACTTTTCTTTTATGGATGCAGGCTCAGTTGTATTTTCACTGAAACTGTTAAACATTATAAAATCACATAAAACTGTGGGAGGAGGGCCACATGGCCCCACATGGCCCCAGGGGCTGCGGGGCTGCCCGGCTGCCCAGCCCTGCACCAGGATGGGAATTGTTATGCCATGTCAAAGCGGAGGACCCTACCCGGGTGGTGTGGCCCCCAGGAAAGATGCCTCGGTAAGAGAATGACGCGCAGGAAGGGGAATCACGAAAGCCACTGCTGGTGTTAAAGACAGAGACTGTTCCCTGCGTGTCTTCCCCCGCCTGTGCCTCAGTTCTGTGCTGACGCCCTAATCCCTAGCATGGCTGCAGGAGCCCGGGCCTCAGGACCGAAGCATGGGAGGGGAGGCCCTGTCCCCATAGGATCAGAGTCCAGGGACACAGAGCACATACTGCCGCCTCCTCCCTGTGCTGTGCTGGGGGGGGGGCAGCCAGGTGAAGATGCGGCCAGAAGGCAGGATGTGGGAACTCACCAGAAGCAAACCCCGTGAGAACCCCGATCCCCACTCCCAGCCAGCACAACCGAGAAGATCCAGTCCTGCTGTGGGAGCTGCCCCGCCCATGGGGTCTCCTGATGGCAAACCAACACAAGAGCCGCTTTCACAAATTTGCACGTGCATGCGTACACCCCCCACCCTGGCAGGGGCGGGGGACAGGGGACACGGACCTGGGAGCCACAGACCCAGTGTACCTGCTCACTGTTGTGTCATTCATGGGATGACTTCACTTTTCTACAAGTTCTGATAGTTCTCCTTTCAAACCAGAGCCGCGTTCTCAACCCCGAGTGTGGGCTACATACGGGAATGTGTTTTCTAACAGGGTGGCTTCTGGGTAAGGTCGCAAGACACAGGACGCAGGGCGGCTCCAGGAGCGCCCCGGAGAGGCCCCCGCAGTGTGAGGGTTGCTGCATGACCGGCCCCTCCCACCCAGCGCAGTCCCACCCAGCGCAGCCCCGGGCTAGCCTTCCGAGGAGACAGCCCCAGCTGACACCCTGCCCGCGTCCTCCTGAGGAAGCCAGGGCCAGGACCGCGCAGCTGAGTCACTCCTTAATTCTTGCCCACAGAAATCGAGAGGTCATTTGCTGTTTTACACCCCCTGGGTGTGCGGTACCTTCTCGCGGTGGTGATTACACACGGCACAGGTATTACGCATTCAACACCGTAAGTGACCGGATTCTGCCGCAGCCACGGACCCCAGGTCACTCACACCACCACGGCGGCAGTCAGGTTGCCAAGTCCCTACACGACCACGTCCAGGTGGGCCAGGTTTCAGAGCAAGTTTAATGCTGTGTGCATTCAAACAAGGAAACTACCGTCAGAAACAGCCCTCAGTCACGCTGTCACTTTCCTCAAGGCCCGTGCTGAGGGCGTGGGCTGGTCCGGACACTGCAGGGGCTCCCAGGGAAGAAGACAGCAGCAGCAGATGGCTGGAGGGGGGACAAGGCAGGGTGAGCACCACTCCTGGCTCCCGTTCTCCTGGGAAGGGAGGTGCTGATGAGGTCCTCTGCCCCCGCAGCCAGGTCCAAAACCAAGTCTAGCTGGGCCGCCCAGTGGCCACATGGCCTAAGGTTCAGCTGCAGAAGGAGGCAGGAGGCACGCGCACCCCGGCCTATCATGTGGTCAGCCCGGTGGACAGCCCCGTGGGAGACGAATGGAAGAATCCAAGGGGCTGTGAGGCTCAAGCTGCGTCCCCAGATGCTGGCAGCTGTAGTCCATCCTCCACTGTCCCCATCTGTAAAATGGGGCACCCCTCCGACCACACCCAGGGCTGGGCAGACTGGGATGACAGGCGCGGAGTAGGGCCTACAGTCAGCCTCCGGGATGGAGCGCCCCAGGGCACTGCCCCGTCCCCAGGCCCACAAACCAGGGATGCTGGCTGGCCGCTCTGTGTTGACAGGCAGGATTCTCCCTGGGGAACAGGCCAGGTGAGCCGCCCAGACCTGCCTCCCCAACCCTGGGGGTGAAGAGATCTAGCCTCATGGAAGCCCCAGTCCTCAGCCACGTGGGAATCACAGGATTCACCTGCTAAGAGCAGCCTAAACTTACCGGAGGAGTCCAAGGGGGGTCGGTTTAATCGTCCTTCTTAAACTTGCCGTTGATGTAGGGCACCCAGTCCAGAATCAGCCGCCAGTCCGTGGCCCACACCAGCCCCACGGTGCCCACAGCGCCCCACATGCCTGCCGTGGGCATCCTGCCAGAGAACAGCTGTGGTCAGATCCCGCTCGGGGTCACCCTTCCAGATACATCTCTGGGTCTCTCTCCGCCCCCATGCCCAGCTTCTACTGCACACCTGACCCTCCTGCCCAGTGTGTGGACACACCCCCGATGACACCACAGGGTGGGCACAAAGCCGGAGACCCTGAGACGACTTCACTTCCACCTGCTTTCACACTGGGATCTTCTGGAGGTTTTTTGGGGAGATTTGCTCAAAAAAATTTTTTTTAACAACCCAAGCTCATTATCACCCATTCACAACACCAACCATGCAGTTCACAGCTGACCTGGGACAGCTACTGGTCTGAGGAAGGTGGCAGGGTCTGGGTTTCGTAGAGAGCACACGACACAGAGGAACAGGCCACCTCCCCAAGGACACGGGGCTGCGGCACAGAGCAGGGCTGAGTCTCCCTCTCACCCAGTACAGCTACCCCTCACGCCGTGTGACGGGTCAGCGTTCACAGCGGCTCCAACAGCCCCTCCTGACGCTCCCAGCCCTGTGCACCCCTCCCTCGCAGTGCCAGCGGGACCCAGTCTCCGGTCTCTAATGAGCGAAGCTCGCAGAGGCGAGCTCAGGAGCACCGGCTTCCAGGGCGCGTGCCCGGGCTAGCCTCTCCTCTGCGGGAGGCCGGCTGCCCCCTGAGCGGCCCCACAGGGGGTCTGCCAGCAATCGCGGGCTCGCGCTTGGAAACCCCCACCCCCACCCCCACCCCCACCCCCACCCCCACCCCAGGCAGAGCCTTTGGAGGAGACTGCGGCCTCCTGAGTCGGTGTGGCGGGCCCAGCTCGGACGTGCCCGCGGTCCTGACCACCCAAACCGCGAGGGAATACGTGTCTGCGGTCTGAAGCTGTGCAGGGCGCCTGTCCCGCAGCCACGGCTGACCACTACAGGGGCCGTGGCCGGCGAAGTGCGGCCAGATCCCGGTCAGCCACGTGCCTGGCACGTTGCAGCGGGAGGGTGGCCAGCGCCACTTCCAGAGGGCACGAACCACCACCACGCCTCCCACCTGCCTCCCCAGGGGCAGCCGCGGCCGCCGCCCCCGACCTGACGCCTGGGCGGACGCCACGCTTCCGGAGGGACCTCCCCTGCCACCGCGCCACAGCTCCGAGGGCCGGTAACATCCCAGGAGCCTTCCCGCCGTCCTGGTCCGCCCCCGGGGAGCCCGAGCCGAGGGCGCTGGACTGACAGCGGGCGGCGTCGGTCCAGGTAGGGGTGAGGAGCGGCCTCGGACGTCCTCCCCGCCGCTCTGCGCCCGTCCCATCTGGAACCCGGCAGCATAACGGGTGCCGACCGGGGACAGCGGGGGCGGGGGGCACATGCTCACCAGTATTTGGCCAGCTCGCGGTAGCGCGGGCCCAGGAACCTGCTCAGCATTGCCGCACCGTCCGCAGCTCAGGGTGACCCCGACTGTCGCCCCGCTGCATTACGCAGGCGCGGCGGCCGCAGCGCGCAGGCGCCTGGGGAGGCTCCGCTCCCGGCAAGCAGCCCTCTGGGCGACAGGCGTCTGCGGTTGCTGCGCGCGCAAACGCGGAAGACCTTGCAGTCATTTCCGGGCAGGGTCGGAAGTCGATTGCCGCGAGGGGGCGGGTCTGGAGCGGGGAGTGTCCTGCGCTGCGCGAGACTGGGCGGCGCGGGTGGCGTCCTCCCGCCGGCGGTGGGGCTGACCCTCTCGGCGCGGCCTGCGGCAGCTAAGTACAACCGCCGCCCTCGGCTGGTGGTTTTGTGTCTTTACCGCAAGCTGAGGCTCTATTTGCCGTCAGGGAAACTGCGGCCCCGCGGGGCAGCACCTTGGCCGGAGCCGCACGGAGGGAACCGCGTCGGGGCGGCGGGCCGCGCCCCCCCGCCTCTCCTGGAGCGGTCGCTCGCAGCCCGGCTCGGCCAGCGGACCGACCCCCGGCGCGGGCGGGGCCTGGCCGGCCGCGGTCACCGCTTCTAGGGCCGCAGCAGGCCCGGGAGAAGGGCGGCCGGCGCGGGCTCCGCTCCCGCCGCGCTGTCGGGGTCCCTGCGCCTGCGCCTCCCGTGGGGTGCCTGACCCCGCGGCGGGGGTGGGGAGCTGCTGGGGGTGCTGGCCCCGACGGCGAGAGCCCGTTCCCGGAGCGGCTTGTGGCTGGACGGGACGTTGTTTCTCGGCCTTCCAGGGCGCTGCGGGCCGTGAGCCTGCGGCCGGAGGGAGTCTGTGGGCGGAAGCCTGAAATGGGCGGCGGAGCCCGTGGAGGTGGCCGAGAGAGGAGGGAGGCGGAGTGAAGCTGTCTGAGGAGTGGGAGGGGGCGCTTGTCTGGCTCCGTCAGTCAAGCGCAGGACTCTAGGTTGCCGCTTGGGTCCTGATCTCAGGGTCGTGAGATCGAGCCCCAAGCTGGGCTCGTGGCTCCGCGCAGAGTTGGCTTGAGATTCTCCCTCTGCCTCTCCCTCCGCTCATGCTCCCCGCCCCCGCCCCAACCCCTGTGTCTCAAAGAAAGAAAGGAAGGAGGGAAGGAAGGAAGGAAGACCGAAAGATCTTTTAAACAATAAGTAGAGATGGGCATAGAGGCCTGAGGGCTGCAGGTCCTGGATCCAGCAGTTCCTGATGCCCTGCCTCATTGCTCCTTCTGCTTAATGTACTTAAGAGAAAAGGAGTTTTATGGCATGTTGGATGGCTTCAGGCACGGCTGGATCCAGGAGCATAGCAATATTATTACGAATCTCTCTCTGCATTTCTCAGCTCTTCTTTACTCTGTTGTCCTTGCCCTCTTGTGAGCTCTCTCTGAGCAGTGGCATGTGGAAACTCTAGGTCAACATTCCAGCAGCCCTTGAAGGAAGATGGCACCTCTTTGTTGTTGTGGAAAATGCCCCAAGGCTGGTTCTCCTGGGCCTGCTGTGGAAATGGGGCAGAAGTCGCTATGCTCATAAGAGGACATGGACTGAAACTAGGGGAGGGGAGGATCCCCAAAAAGGAGTAGTCAGGATCCTGATATCCAAAGCGGTGGTGGATAAGCAGGACCTTGGATTTCCCATGATACTCCTATCCAGCCTTTAGGGGAAACTCAGCTCCTACAATTTTTTTATGCTGTGAAATTCACAAAAGTTGTTGCAACCACCACCCTGTCTAGTTGCAGAAAATTTTCATCACTTCCAAAAGAAGCCCCATAGGTCTCCCTCCTCCTCCCCCTCCCTCAGGCTCTCCCCAGCCCCCGGCCCCCACGAGCCCCTCTCCTGTCCATGGAAGAGCCTGGTCTGGGCGCCTCACACACTTGGACTCACACCCCCTGTGGCCTTTTGTGTCTGGTTCCCTAACTGAGCTTTGTAGGCTCAGGGTCCGTCCCTGGGGCAGCACGTGGGGGCCCCGCTCCTGCTTGTGGGCAAAGGAGGCTCCCCTGCGTGGGGGGGGGGGGTTGTGTTTATCCGTTCACCCGTTGATGGAGTCTTTTTTTTTTTTTTTTAAATCTTTACAACTTACCGAGGAATACTGGACATGCAAAAACGCATGGACTGAGCACGTAGAACTTGGTGTTTGGACGTGTGTGCCCACCACCAGGACTGCGGGCGCCTGCTGGCCTTCCTCCTGCCCATCTGGACCCTTGCCGCCCCCCTCCCGGCCCCTGCGAGCATTCATCTGTCTCCTGTTGGTTCATCTGCACTTTCCTGACTCTTCTACCAGGGGGCATACAGTGTGTTCCACTTGGTGTCTGGTGCCTTTCTTCTGCTGCCCAGTCGAGACCCGTGGAGGGCGAACCTGTGTGCAGACCGCTCCCCTGCTGGAGGGCATTCTGCCTGTTTCCAGGTTTCGCCATCACAGCTGTGGCCCATGACTGGTTCTGTCCAGGTCTTTGAGTGGATGTGTGTCTTTATCCCCCTGGAGAAGATCCTGGGGGGCCGGCTGGCGTGCAGCGGGGCCCCCGTGTTGAGCTGTGGACAGAACCGCCAAGCTTCCTGTTTTTTCACACTGAGATGTAACTGCTGCGGACGGTCAGGTCAGTGTCCAGGCCCCGGTGTCTGCCTGCCAAACCGTTCTGGAGTAGTTGCGCCTGTTGATGTCCCCGCCAGTGAGACATGGGGCTCCCACCATATTGGGGCGTTGCACCACTTTAGAAAGGACACACAGGCTCCGTGTTCCCCATGGTCACGGTGACAGCTGTGCGCTGGGCAACTGGAAACCACAGGGTTTTACGCTCTGCTCACCTTGGAGGCCATAAGCCCCCCCCATGCACGTGTGACAGGGCTGCACACCCGCTGTCCCTCCCACCTCTGCCTCCGTGATTGCCACCTATGTCATGCGGCTTCTCTCTCTCATCAGGGTGCTTGTCACTGACTTGGGGCCTATTCTGCGCCAGGACAAGCTCATCTCAGGATCTGGAGTTCCACTGGCAAAGGCCCTTTCCTTGAGCACCCCCAGTTCCGGGGTCAGGCATGAGGGGTCCATGTCCAGAAGCTGCAGCGCAGTGTGGTGTCCGAGGGGCTGGCCGGCGTGGCAGGGTGCCTGGGGTTCATGTCAGGCCCAAGCTGTGTCCTCTTCCCGAGAGCAGGGGGCCTCAGAGGGCTGGCGGGGGCTGGCCGAAAGTCTGGGACAAGCACACAGTGACCTGCACCCTTCAGACATGCCCAAGATGCCATTGCTGCTGTCATGGGCGTGTCCCTTGCACCGAGTTTTCCTCCATCCCTTGCTCCCGTGGCTCCCTGAGCCGGGCCAAGATGCTCCTTCCAGAAATTTCCATAGAGCAGATCCCTGCTGGGACGGGGAGGGAGGGATGCCTCACTGAAGGATTTTAGGACCTTTGTGATCTATTTTTAAACAGCCTTTTTGAGGGGCACCAGCTGGCACAGTGGGAAGAACATGTGACTTTTGATCTCAGGGTTATGAGTTCGAGCCCCATGTTGGGTGTGGAGAAGACGTAAAAATAAAATCGTAAAAAAAATAAAACAAACACCTTTAAAGATTTTATTAGCACAAGCAGGGGAGGGGCAGAGGGACAAGCAGGCTTCCTGCTGAGCAGGATGCTGGGATCATGACTTGAGCCAAGGATAGCAGCTCAACTGCCTGAGCCACCCGGGGGCCCATAAACTGTCTTGATGGTGTTGACACACCATCCCATTTATAGACTTAATGTGCATAATTCAGTGGCCTTTGGCATATTACATTAATTATAAAAATTAACAGGCAGCCTCTCAGGGAGTGGCTTTCCCCATGAGCCAGTCCCGCGTCCAGATCCCAGAACCTCTTATTACAAGTAGAGATTCCCCACCTGACCCAAGGTGCTTTGGTTCTAGAATGTGGAATTGCCATGGGCCCCTCCCATCACTCTGGCTTTGCTGGCCTTGCTCACCGTGGCCCCAGTCAGACCCTCGTGGTACCTGTCCCCCAAAGACTCACGCTCACGTCCTGTCCCCCCAGTCCTGGGAACGGGACCTTATTTGGATACAGGATCTTTGCACGTACAGTCGGTTCAGTTGAGGTCGTACAGGAAGGGGAGGCCGTGAGGCCGTCAATGACTGGTGCGTCCTCGTGACAGATGCACGGGGAGGCACCTAGTGCCCCCGGGACAGGCTCTGAGTGATGTGGCCGCAACCGCAGGGATGCCTGGAGGCCCCGGACCTGGGAGAGGCAGAAGGGACCCTCCTCTGGAGCCCAAGGAGGGAGCGCGGCCCCGCCACACCAGGATCTGGGGGGCCTGGCCCCAGCACAGGAGAATCGGTCCCAGTGGTTTCAGACCCCGTCCCCGTGTGGGGCTCTGTGACAGCTGCCCCCAGGGGATCACATGCAGGGCAGAGGCCTCAGCACCTGCATGCGGGGCAGAATGCCATGCCCCCTACCTGGCGTGGCACCCCCTTCCGCCTGCCCTGCCCCCCGCTGGAACCACACAGCAGCTGAAGAGCCAGGGGACAGCCGTGGGGCCATAGGATATCACACTTATTGCTGCGGCTCTGTGCTACACAGGACAGGTCTCCAGAGCCGCTCAAGAGAGGGGCCCTTAACACATCCCAAAGAATCCAGCCAGCCATGTTGACACTTGTATAAAATTATTTTTCTTAAAGTTTTGTTTGAAAACCAGATATCTTAAGGCACTCAGCACGGTTTTCCCTTACTTGTGTCTCTTCCCATTCCCAAGGGCTATTTACGGGTACAGAACAGTCCAGTAGTAGTTGGGGGGGGGGGGCGAGTGGCTCCATGTAGACCAAGGGACACTGAGACAGGACCCACCAGACCCACACAGACCAGGGGAGGCACCAAGGAGGGCCCCTTGCCAACGACTCCTCGCCGTCCCCAGAACCGTCTGGGGGGTGTGGGCAGCATCAGTTGGAGGACCGAGGTGACATCAGGGCTTGGGAGGCAGCCCACAGGTCCTGCCTGGTGCTTGCCTTGGGGTGTCCAGCTCCTGGCCTCAGGGTGTGCCAGTCACAGGGTGTGAGGGCATCAGACAGCCCCACTGTTCTGGGAGTGCAGCGGGGGAGGGTTGCGGGGGAAGTGAACGTGGCCACCTGGGGTCCAGAAGTCGTGTGCATGCACTTGTGGTGGCGGGAGCCAGGTGGTTACAGGAAGGAGCCTGGAGCCCCGCAGGCCTGACCCTGCACCTGGGGGATGCACAGAGGGGCAGCTGTCTGGGTGTCCCAGCAACTGCAGGGACCTTTGGTTTAGGCCTGGGGAGCCCTGCGTGGAGCTGGTTCCCCCTGCAGGCAGGGGACGTGGGGAGGCCTGGAAGCCGGGCCTGGATATGGCCCACACCCTTCTGGTCTTGCAGGTGATCAGGGCCAAAGCCTGGAGCTTTTCAGAGTTTGGGGTCAGTCACTTGGGTTGGGGGTTGATGTGCTGGCCCAGAGTCTTCTGCAGGTCCTCTGCCAGAGATCAGAGAACAGGCCAGGGCCCCAGGTCAAAGGAACGAAGAATGCGGTGCCTGGGGACACCCCCCCTCCATCAAGCTCCTGTCGTATGGTCCCTGTGCCCAGAAGCAGTGGTCTGACAAAATCCCATCTGGGGAGGTCTGCAGACTGTGCGGGCCCACAGGCTGAGGGGGAAGGGCTGGGGAGCAGAGCTGCCGCCCTGCAGACACCCCCCACCCCCTTCCCGAGGGAGGGGTGAGGACGCAGCAAGGGCTCCCCAAGGATAACCCCCACCAGGGCAAAGGGGGCCCACAATGTCCCTCCTACAAGAAGCGAGGAAACCACCCACCCTCTGAACCAGCCGCGAGCAGAGGGGTCCGCTATCCCTCCTGCACCAGCGGCTCTGGGGCTCGGGCTCTCAGGTTCACGGTGGGTCTTTTCAATATGACTTTTAATGACCTGGTTGACTGTGAAAAGCCACGCTCAGGTCTAGAAACAGCAGCAGAAGCAGCAAGAGACACAAAACTTTTATACAAAATTGTTGCTTACAAAACATATGCAAAAAAGCTTAAAAAAAAAAAAAAAAGAGACCAAAAGCATCCTCCCTGCTAATTTCCTAAGACATTAAAAAAAATCTAACTAACGTTCTTTATTTTCCTTAAGACACAGGTCAGGCGTAGGCACGATTCACGGCTGCAGGAGAGCGAGCCCGTCCCGCTTCTCCCTCCCGCAAGGGGAGGTTCGGACTCTCCCGCGTTTTCTACTTAAGGCATTTTTTTCTCTTTTCGGACAAAGTGTTCATCTCGCTTGCTTCCCGGTTTTGTTTACAAACAAAACAAAACAAAACTGCCCCTTCCGGCCCAGGCCGTGGTTTCAGGATCCATCGGGGCCGCCCCCAGGCGTCGGGATGGTGAGGCCCAGGGTGGAGGCCGTGCTGCCGGCAGGGACCGGGCTGGGTCGCTGGCCCCGGGCCGCGCCCCCTCCTCACAGGTGCCCCGCGGGGTTGTGGGCCTCGCCCAGGCCCGGGTGAGCGGCGGAAAGCACCATCTGGGGGTCTCCGACCACGCCCGACACCTTCTCCTCTTCTCGTCGCTTCAAGCAAGCCGCTTTGGGGTTCAGGTTACGCTCTGGGGGGAGGGGAGAGCCATGTGGGACAGGGTCCCTCTGGGAGCCGGCGGGCGCGGGGCCCTGGAGAGCAGAGCGCCGGTCGGGGGTCCGAGCGCCCGGCTGCCTGCGCGCGAGGAGCCCACGGGGCGGGGCCGGCGGGCCGGGGGGGCGGGGCCGGCGGCCCGGGGGCGGGGCCGGCGGCCCGGGAGCCTACCTCGCACCTGCTGCTCCAGGCCCAGGATGACCTGCACGGCCTGCTGCAGGATGAGCAGCTTGGTCTGCGCCTTGTCCGACTTGAGGTGCAGCTGGCACATGCGGCCCAGCTCCCGGAAGGCCTCGTTAATGTCCCGCACGCGCACCCGCTCCCGCGCGTTATTGGCCATGCGCCTCTCCCGGTCCCTCAGGTCTTTCTCCTCCAGGGACAGCACCTCCTCCGTACTGCTGGGTCACAGCACCAGGGCCTCCGTTAGCGAGGAGCCGGGCCGGGCCGGGCGGGCGGGCGCCCGCGGACAGTGTGCGTGCGTGTGCGTGCGTGTGCATGTCCGTGACCGTGTGCTCCCCCGGGCTCGGAGCTCCGAGCCTGTCTGTGTGCGCACCTGGGACCCGGCCGCAGGAGAGGCTGTGTGTGTGCTGACGCCCCAAGGAGACCAACGCAGGAGCGTTCCCAGGGGATGGAGAGTGGGCCCTGAGCCCTCATCAGGCCATCTGTGGGGAGCTGGGGGCACCCTACGCCCCCTGCCCCTCCTGGTACCACCTTCCCGGCTCAGCGCACTTGCTGGCTGGGCGGTGCGAGGGCTAGGCCAGGCAGACCAGTGTGGGCAGGACAGGCCAAAGAGACTGGCCCAGCGGGCAAAGCCCCCCGCCCGGCCACCCCAAGAGCTGGACGTGGAACGGCCCCCCACTCTGGGTTGGGAGCATGGGCTCCCCAGGCCTTTCATCACTACCATGAATGCCCTGTGTGTCCCAGCGGTGCGGTGACTGAGCGCCGACTCTGCACCGGCCCCCATCACACACAGGACGGCTGAACGGCTCAGACGCCGGGCCACGAGGGCTGAACCCTGGTTCAAGTCTTGCAAAGCATCAGCCACGTGGCTCTGCCCAGCAACTTCACTCGCGTCCTCAGCGGGACGCCTGCCTCGCCTGGCCTCAGGGACGGGAAGCAGAGTGGGTGAAGGTCTGGCCCTGGTGTGCGCCCCATGGGCAGAAGATGAGCCCAGACACCTGCACATGAGCAGCGCCTAGGGCCCTGTCCTGCTCCCACAATAGGGGGAGGGGGCTACACCCCTGTCTGCCCGCCCACCCACCCACCCGGCCCTGGACCTGAGCAGATCCTGCCAGGTGGCGGTGGCCCCCGACCCCAGGACAAGCGCGCAGACCAAACTGACAGGCCTGAGGCTGGTGCACCCCTTGGTCCCCTTTCTTCCCTCAAGTCCCAACTGGGAGACTTTGTGGGGGGAGGAAAGACCCCAAGGTCGCAGCCCTGCCATCCGGGGCTTGGGCAGCAAGTGCGAGGTAGGAGGGGCTGCCATGGAAGCGGAGGGGCGGGTGGGCTGGGATTAGGGGAGCTCGAGAGGCAGAGAGCAGAGAGGTGGGCGCGGGGGACACGGCGCGGTGTCCACACCACCACGGAAACACGGAACCCTCAGAGCAGAGGGGACAGCAGGCTGGGGGTGGGGGGTGGGGGGGTGGGGCGAGGGCCCCAGCTCTGGTCCAAGCGACAGCACTGCAGGAGAGAAAGGGTTAACGGACGTGGAGGAGTGGGTGGGTGGGAGGCGTTAAGGAAGCAGCTGAACTGGGGAGCCAAGTCACATGGGGGCCTTTCTGGCTCCTCACCAGGGAATGGGGGCTGATGGGCTGAGGCGCCCCGCAAGGATGTGTCCGCAGCGACAGTGACCTCTGGCCCTGGCCACAGGGGCCTCAGCCAGAAGGCTACAGCCTCCCTAAGAAAGGAGGACTGGGGCGGGCAGGGCTCCCTGGGGTCCAGGGATGGAATTCAGAGCCAAAGTGCCCAGGTCTGCAGAGCCACGGCTCCCAAGAGTATCCTCCTCCCATTTCCAGAGGGGACACTGGGGCCAAGTTAGGTGGCCCTGTGGTCAGAGAGGGAACAGCTCACAGCAGGGCAGGACAGTCACTGCAAGGAGAGGAATAGTCACAGCGGGCAAGGCGGCCACTGCAGGGGGAAGTCACAGCAGGGAGGGGGGACAGTCGCAGCAGGGGAAATTGACTCCAGGAAGTGGGGGGAGAGCGCGGCAGCAGTGGCGGGGGAGGGGAGCGGCGCCCCCACTGACCTCGCACCTGCTGCTCCAGGTTCAGGATGACCGACACGGCCTGGTGCAGGATGAGCAGTTTGGTCTGGGGCTTCTCACTGTTGAGGTGCAGCTGACACATGCGCCCCAGCTCCTTAAAAGCCTCATTGATGTCTCGGACCCGCAGCCGCTCGCGCGCGTTATTGGCCACCCGGCGCTCCTTCTCCCGCTCAGCCTTCTGCTCTGGGGGGAGAAGGTCGTCCTCGTCCTCGTCCGGGCTATGGGGCGGGCCCGGGGGCCCAGAGGGAGACAGTGAGGCGGGGGGACAGGCGGGGGACCCGCCGACAGCCTCGCGCGGTGGGCGCCGTGTGCGTGTCTGCGTGCGTCCTGACGGGCGGGGCAGCCGGAGGCTGCGCGGGGGGGGGGGGCGGGGGGGGGCGTGTGCATGTCTGCGTGCGTGTGCGTGCGTCCTGACGGGCGGGGATGCTGGGGGCTGCGGGGAGGCGGGCACCTGGTCCGAGGCCGCGGGGGCTTCAGCTCCTTCTTCTCCTCCTCGGAGTTGTCGGCCGCGGATGTGTTCTCCTCGTCCTCCTTCTCCTCCCGTTTGATCTCACCGGCGCCCGAGACCGCCCCAGGGCGCGCGAGTCCTGCAATGGGCCTGGGCTTAGCGTCTGCGCACAGCCTGGGCCGCCCGACACATGCCCGCTGCCCTCCTGGGAGGCAGTGTGAGGTCTCTGGGGAAAGCCAGGACTTCGTATGCAAAAAAAGAAAAAAAAACCCAAAGAGCCCCAGGGCGCCTGGGTGGCTCAGTGGGTTAAGCCTCTGCCTTCAGTTCAGGTCATGATCCCGGGTCCTGGGATAGAGCCCTGCCTGGGGCTCCTTGCACAGCGAGGAGCCTGCTTCTCTCTCTCTCTCTCTGCCTCTTCCCCTGCTTGTGCTGTCAAATAAATAAAAATCTTAAAAAAAACAACCCAACAATAAAGCAGCAAACACCTAGAATCAGAGATCCGCATCTCACACCACACAATCACCAGTTCCAACAGAGAAAGATCTGAAAACCTTCAGAATAAAGTGCGTGGAAATCCCGCTGTGGTTCAGAGGGGAGGACTACCTCCTACAATACTAAATGAGCTGTTCTTGAAAAAAAAATAAATAAAAAAACAAACAAACAAAAAACACTGATAAACTGGACTATAGCCTAATTGAGAATTTCTGGTTACCAGGATCCCACCAAGAAGAGAAGAAGATACGCCGCAGGATAGAAAAGATGGGTTCTGAGCTCCTGGGGGGCTCAGCTGCTAAAGCAACTGCCTTTGGCTCAGGTCACAATCCCGGAGTCCGGGGATCGAGTCCCACAAGGGACTCCCTGCTGGGCGCGGAGTCTGACTCTTCTTCTGACCCTCCCCCTTCTCATGCTCGCTCTCTCAAATAAAATCTTTAAAAAAGAAAAGACATCACGTGTCCTGTATAAACCAATGAAGATGAAAAGAACTCCCACAAATGAACACGAAAAGGACTAGGAGCTCAAGAGGAAAACAGAGAAAGCTCCCAGATGGGTGATTCGTAGACGAGGAAGCGGCCATCTACTTCACGGCACCGACAATCCGCGGAAACGCAAACCGGGATCTGGCAAGTGGGGAAGCCGGCAAAGGGATAGGGCCCAGCATCGGGGGTACTGCCCGTGGGAGGCAGGTCGGGACAGTCTGGTGTCATCGGGAGGATAGATCCACAGACCCCCAGACCCCACAACCTGGAATCACACCCGAGAAGCTCCTGTGCACATTCTGGAGACACATTCCAGAACGTTCCAAAAAGCACCTACCCCAAAAGTAGAAAGTTGAAACAACCTAATGTCCCACATCAGGGCCCATCCTGAGCCCCCAGCAGGAAGGTGGCCCTTGCTGCCCACGTGACCACGCCAGCCAGTGCCAGTTTCAGAAAAGCCCAAGGCCACGTAATGGAACACAGGGTTTGAAGGCACACGGCAGGAAACTTGGCACTGTGACAGCAAGACACACCGGGAATGGGGCCTGGGCTTGGCAACAGATGAACTGGGAGGGCAGGGGAGATGAGGGGAAGGCAGGACAGGGAAGGGTAGCAGGGGGGAAAGGAGGAGATGGGATAGGAGCAGAGGGCAGAGAAGGGTAGTAGAAGGAAAAGGAGGGAAGGGTAGAGGAGAGGAGGGCAGAGCAGGATAGCAGAGAGGAGAGCGGGGGAGAGGAGGGCAGGGCGGGGGAGAGGAGGGCAGGGTAGCAAAGAGGAAAGCAGGGGAGAGAAGAGCAGGCAAGGGGAAGGGGAGAAGCTGGGATAAGGGATTCAGCTCAGGGAATGCCGGCCCCACAGCACAAACATCAGGGCGTTCCAGGCCTGTGAGGAGTCAAGCTGCATCCCAGTCGTCCCCCCACCCGAATCGTGGTGACTCTAAGTGTCCCAGAAAAATGCCCTATGTGATAAAAGTGATCAAAAAAAATCAAGAAATACACAGCAAGGCCAGCTGTCACACTCAGGCTGGTTTTGAGGGGGCGTGTGGAGAACAGCCAGGGCCCCTGGGCCAGACAAGAGAACCTGCCCTAACGTGGGAGGCGTGGGGTGTTCCTGGGGGCTCGGGACACCAGGCGGTGTGGGCGCCCGGCCCGGCCCAGTCCCGGCACCCTCTCAGGCCATGGTTGCCAGCACGGTGGCAGAGTCCACGTCCCCGTGCCTGGGACTGGCCGCCATGAGACCCTCACTGGCCCGTCACCACCTCCTCCCTGCAGCCTTGTGTGAGGTGCTGTCACCTCCTCGGTATTTCCCCAGAAAGCCCACAGCCCACGGCCGGTGGCCACGACCCTGACCCCATGTTGCTGCAGCGTGGGTCCTCAACTCTGGCACCTGACGCGCCTGCCCCCCCACCCCCCACCTCCACCGCGGCCGGCACCGTGCTCAGGATGGGGCTCTGCTCCGCTCGCTCTGCCTGGGGACCCCGCCTGCGGTCCTGGCTCTGGGCTCCACCCGGTGCCCAGCGGTCAGCACGCTCCCTGAACTCCAGACCTGCATCCCACCGCAGCCTCCACAGCTGCAATCCTGTGGGCTCTCTGGCTTGAGAACCCAGAACGCACCCCCACCCCACTTCCTGGACCAGCACAGTCGTGTGTCCCCTGCCCACGGCTTCAGCGGTCACCCATCATCCTCAGCTGCCATCAGAGGGCGCCTGTGGGCACTGAGTCTGGCAGCTCCAGACCCTGCCCGGAGCCCTCCAAGGCTCCTAGGTCCCTTGGGGTCAAAGCCCAAGTCCTCCCATGTCCACAGGACCCTGCATGACTTGCCCTGTCACCTCCCTGACCTCACCACCTCCCTCTTATCTAACACAGGGCTCCTCACTACTTCAACACACCAGGCACGGTCTTGCCCAGGGGCCTTTGCACACGCATCTCCCAAGCGCTGGTCTGCTTCTCCTCCCCTGCTCTGCCCAAATGTCACAATCTTGCCCGCCATCTTTAGAAGTACAAGCTTCTCTATGCCCTCTCCCCATTTCCCCTAGCATCCTTCCTTCTGCCTTTAGTCCACTGTTGCTCACCCCCCAGGGATGGGGTTTCTGGTTTAATTCCTGGTTTACTGCCCAGGGCCCACACAGGCCCCAAGCACAGGGCTGACGCCGACCACGTGAAGTGCCCGGGCTCCACCCCTCCAGGAAGGAACCGGCCGGCTGCCCTCCCGAAGGGCTTCCCGGTGCCGGGTGCAGGGGATGCCGCATACGGTGAGGGCCCAGCCCAGTGCCTGGCAGAGAGCAGCCCCCGGCCTAGCCCGGTGCCCTGAGCCGGCCACCCCTTCCCAGACCCCCACACTGAGGCTCACCGCTGTAGGAGTCCGGTGGCCGAGCGAGCTCGGGGAGGGCGCCAGGCTGGCCGGGGAGGGCCACGTGGTTGTGCAGGAGGCTGCTGCTGCCCGCAAGGCTGTCTTCCGAGGGGCCGCCTCCCACCTGCGGACAGAGGAGTGGGCTCGGCGGTCAGGGCCTGCCCACCCTGATCCCCCGCCCAGCCCGCCCCCAAACAGTACTCACCAGGCCTGTGTGTCGGCCCCCCAGCGGCATGACGGGGCCGGTAAAGCCTGAGGCCAGAGCCCCATGGCCGGGCAGCAGCCCGTGGACGTCCGCCGAGGCGCCCACCGCGTGGCTACGCAGCACGTGGATGGCCTCGTCCAGGCGGTCCTCCATCTTGTTCTGCTGCGGACAGGGAAGGGGCAGCGGTCAAGAGTGCAGACGCCTGGCATGCTACATGGCCTTGGGGCCCGGCACACAACCCGAGCCTTCGTTGGCTAGCGAGGCCATGTGCCCCACAAGTGACCTGCCAAGGGGACCCCCGTCCTGCAAATCCCATGAGTCACAGAGCCCGAGCGGCTCTCCGGGGACACGGCTTCCAAGCCCTTGTACGCTGGCCACAGCAGACATGCTGAGCTGCCCTCATGGGCCACCTCCCCCGGCCCAAGGTCCACATGTACCATGCCTTCCCCCGGCCACATGCGCCCATGAGGGACAGCGCCCATCCAGCCCGGGAAGCTCACCAGGCTGTGGAGACCCCCATCGTAGCTAGGCGATAAGGCACCAGGGGCTCCTGGCCGGGGCCACTGCGATGTCCCTGGAAGGGGTAGGCGGCATGTCAGCGGGGGCCCCCGGAGGCGGGGTGTCCAAGTGGCCCGACTCAGAGGCCTCAGGGTCTGCGATGTCCAGGAGGGCCATATGGTGGCCCCCATGCTCGCTGGGCCGATGGAAACCCTGCCGAGGCCGGGCCAGCCAGGCCGTTCCTGGGAACCCACCCAGCAGACGGGTTCCTGTCTCCAGAACCCAATCCCCAGGGGGAAGGCAGCCCAGTGGCACATACAGCAGGTGTCCCAGGGGTCAGCCTGCTGTACCAGTGGTCCGCCCCAGGGGCCCTGCGCGCACTCAGCAAGGCGAGAGTCCCTGAGAACTTCCACTGCAGAGATGAGGCGCTGCGGGCTTTCTAATAAAACCACGCGGCCTTCCAGGAAGCTGACCACAAGCTGACCCCCAGGAAGGTCCTCTTGGGGACAGGATGACCAGCCCCCTTAGCAAAGCCGAAACCAGGGCACGCCACTGGTGCCTATCAGACACTGGGGGGACAAACGCCAACCTGTCCACGTTTGGGAGTCCGGGAGGGAGTCTGGCCTGTTACTCTGGCTCTTGGACTCCCTGCCCTGTCCCTGACTGTTCATACAACGTAGACTAGACTGGAGAACCCCCCTCCAGAGAGCCTTCCAGATGCCCGCGGGAACCGGAGCCCTGAGGCCGGGGGTGCACCCAACTCTCCACACACTCAGGGCTGCAGGACCCTGATGCAGCCCCCATCGCTCCCCAGCAACGCCCCCACAGACCTGCGAGGCCCTGGGGGGAGCCCACGGGGGTCGAGGGGCTGGAGGAGAAGTTATTGCTTGAGTGATCTGGGGAGTAGATCTGCAACAGGGATGAGAAGAGAGACAGGGCCACCAAATGGGGTCAGGGGCCAGCCTCGGGCACTTGCCAGCCCAGCCACCCCTAGCCGCCCCATGTCCCATGCCTCACCGAGGCCAATGCCTTCCCCAGAGCATCCCCAGAGCTGCCAGCAGTAGTCCCGCGGGAGCCTGCGGGGTGAAGAGAGAGGAAGCCGAGCTCAGGGACACTACCGCCCCCGCCCCAGGCCCAGCTTGGATGCTGGTGCCCCAGCTGCCTAGCGTGGACGTCCTCACCCAGCACGGGGCAGCCCCATTCCAGCTGGGAATGGCCTGGAGTCCTGCGCCCTGCCACCACGGCGGCTCTAGGGACAGGCGGGCGAGCAGCAGGACCCGAGTGAGCGATTTCCCCTGGAGAATCTGCTCCCCCAGACGGAAGAATGGGGACCCATTCTTCAAAGGCCCATTTCCAGACATTGGATGTGGCCCACGGGGCCTGATGCAGGGCAGGCCCAGGAGGGGAAGGACAGGAGTGACGAGGGCCCAACCCCCACACCCAGCCAGGCTTCAAGCTTGGAGGGGCCCCATCCGGAAGAGGGGTAAAGGGGTGGGTACCCAGGAGACTGTCGGCCCCGCTGACGGGGGGTGTGTGGCTGGAGACGCCGCCATAGGCGGCCGCAGGGGCCGAGGAGAAGCCGGACGCGGCCGGGAGCCCGCCGTTCACCTCTGTCCCGTGCAGCTGGTAGCCCTGTGGGGGGAACGGGGTCACGGGGGTCCACTGAGGGTGCTGCCCGCACACCCACCCCTGCCCGTCCTGCAGACCTACCATACGCTCGTGCTGGTGCAGGCTGCCGAAGCCCGCGCTGCCCCCGACAGAGCCGCCACCGCCTGGGGGGAGGGGCAAGGGTGACGAGGCCCCACCCAGCACCGACCCAAAGCCCGCCTGGCCGGAGGGGCTCCAGAGCTCGGCCGCAGGGTGCAGGCTGCCATCTGTGGAGGCGCACATGGTGAGAGGAGGCCAGGGGACCCGCAGCCCCAACCGTCTCAGGTGAGCCCCCACACACCTGACATGTAAAAGGGGGGGGGATAGGCGCTGCTGGGGGCCTTGGCAGGTGCATAGGCGGTGCTGTCCCTCCCGTAGTCCTCACCTGAGCTGGACGGGTACACCTGCAGATGGGCGGGGCGGTCAGCCAGGAGGGGCCCAAGTGTGATGGGGGACCCATACCCAGCCTTGCCCTCCAGCCACCAACCCCTCACTCTATGTGCTCTAACCCTTCCCCTGGCCAGCACTGGAGGTTCCGGGGGGATCCTTTCTCCTGCTCCTTCTCTACCCTCCACCTCCCATCCCGCCCCTGGACCAAGTTCCAGCCTGTGCCTCCCGAGGCCTCTGCAGACTGGACCCCCGACCAAGGACACTGTCCCCCTCCTGCAACCAGCCAACTCCTCCCGACCCGTCCGAGCCCAGCTCTGATGCCCCCGGCCCTGCCTCTTCCCCGTTCCCCCATTCTAGAACCCCCCAGGGCCCCAGCCCTGACCCCAGGAGACGTGGGGGTGCAGAGGCCAGGCCTGGAGGAACAGCAGGCCCGCAAGGTGGCAAACGAGTTCCAGGAGCAGAAGCGGGGAGGTCTGGAGGGGGGCTCAGCTCTGGTGCTCCAGGGGACTGGGCTGGGGGCTCAGACGGGGGAAGCAGGGGGTTGAGGATGTCATGATCTTCAAAGAGCCTGACCCACACTTCCCGGCTGCAGAGTGCCCGCCCCGACCCTGAACTGGGGTCAGCCCGGGGGGGGTCAGTGTGGGTCAGCCCACGGGGGGGCGGCACGGGAGCCAGGCAGAGAGGGCGGCCGGGCCAGGGACACCAGCAAATAGCTTTTTCTCTCAGTGACTCCATCGCTGGAGTGCGGTGTGGTGAGCCCCTCCTGGCCCAGCATCAAGGGCCAGGAAGCTGGGGTGGGGACCCCATGAACCGGACCCCAAGGGCGCCTCCAACCCACTCCCGCTCCCAGGGGCCCATCACACTGTTCCCAAGGTGCCTGGGCCACAGAGAACATCGGGTCCTCTTGTTAACAGGGATCTGAGCTAGACCCAAGGAAGAACTTCCCAGAGGCCCTCGCTGCTGGCTGGATCAGAGCCACAGCGTCGGCAAAAGTCACACACAGCCCAGCACCTCCCCCGACGGCAACGCTGCGCACCCCCTGCAGAGAGGGCCCTGAGCCTGGACCCTGGGTCTGTGGCCACTCAACTCACCGAGGATGGGAGACCCGGCGGCACCTTCCGGACCTTCTTGGGCTGCGAGTCTGTACGGAGCAAGGAGTGAGCCCACTGGGCCTACCGGGCACCCGCCCCACCCAGCCAGGGGCGCGGAGGGAAGGGGTGGGGGAGAAGAGACCCCCGAGCTTCCCCGCTAATGACACGACCAGAATGAGGTCGCAGACCCACGTGCACAGGTCTAAGGGCAGAGCTCGGGTGGGGGGTCTGCAGGGGGCCCCTCCCTGCGCTCCCCCAGTCACGCCTCCCCGGTGTAGGTCCTGTGCTTGGCGGTTTCCCTCGCTCGGCTCAGGGACCCCAAGTCTCCACCTGCTGGGCTTCCGCGGCCGCTTGGACAGCAACACGCGTGGCCCAGCGGAGGGGGACCGGGCAAGGCCTCGCCTCTCCGTTCTGGAACCCAGAGTCCTCCTCAAGGGCCACTCAGCATGTTTCTACATGTTTGTGTGTTGTGGAGAACGCTGCCGTTTAAGACACCCCCCAGTGCAGCCGGAGGTGCTGGTGGGGGTTCCCAAGTGTGAGAAGGCCGTGAGCCTCCAGCGGGCGAGACCGCGTCCAGGGCTAACAGCCCCCGTTGAGCCAGGCACATGCCACGCAGGTTCCGGGCCACGGGACCCCGACCTGGTACTTCCGCGGGGGCCCGTCCCCCCGCACCTGCGCCCCGCCCGCCCCACTCACCCAGTCCGCTCTCCGCGGCTCTGCGCCGAGCGTGGCTGGGGTAGGAGTAATACTGGACACCGGCCTTGGGGCCTGAAGGGGACAGCGGCCCGGGGCTCCCGAGGGCCAGCTCGCTGGGCGGGAAGCCGGCCTGGGGGGTGAGACGGGGCGGTTGTCAGGGCGGCAGGGGGGAAGGGGGGCACTCGGCCCCGCCCCCAGGCCCATCCTGATGGTGCACACGCCAGTGCGCAGGCCCCGCTTGGACCCTTGTGAGGGCGACAGGGACCCTCGGCGGGAGCTCCCTGCCTGCCCCGCTTGGACGTTCTTCTGAGACGCAACCGACCACAAGCCACACGGTTCTTCTGAATGAAGGCGGAGAAGCAAGACGTTGCCACAAGCCCACAGCCCCACTCAAGGGGCTCAGCGTGCAAGGCCCGCGTCCAGGCGCTACAGAAACCCGCTGGGCTCACTCCATGCTCAGCCTTTTTTTTTTTTTTTTTTTTTAAATAAATAATTTAACTTTGCATATCTTAGTTTGAAACAGGCCTCCTTTCCTCAAGGGCAGAAACAACTGGGGTCCGAGCCAAGGGCAGTCCCATGCCTCAGCCTTCCCGTCTGCAGAACGGGCACAGGTGCCGTGGACACAGACGGGGTGCCCTGGGCCTGGCTGGCGCTCAGCCGTCACAAGTGCCGTGTTCCTATGTGACACGGCGTGCAAACGGGTGGCACCCCCTGGCACAAGGCCTAGCTGCACCAAGGACTTGCAGGCAGGGGGCCACGGTGGCTGGCTGCTGTCCACCTGCCCCCACAGCCTCCCAGCTGGACCAGCATGGGGAGACTTTCACCTGTGCTGGGCGCCCATGGAGTGGGCTGCCTGGGAGGGCGGGCGGGGGGCACCAAGGACCAGCAGGGGCAGTAGGGGGCAGGGCCTCAGAGTTACCAGGCTGGCCTCCATGTCCCGGCCTGCCACTCAGGAGTGGGCACATGTCTCTCAGGACCCCCCCCCAACACTGTGCATGGTGACCCCCAGCCTGGGCCCCAGGTCTAGGAGCTGTGGTGCGGGGGCCATGGCCTCCTGAGCAACCCACCTGCCCCGTTCACAACCAGCTGGACAGCCTGGCCCAGGGAGCCTGCTTCGGATTGGACAACAATCCCAAAGGGAAAGGCAGTTGGGCAGATAAATGACCAGAGCCCCTGCTCCGGGGTCAGCAGGATCAGCAGACCTGGGGCCCTGGCCTCCAACGCGGGCCTCACCTGACTCAAGCCGCCAACACCCGCGTCTCTCCCGAAGGTGGTGTACGTACTCCGCTCGCTGCCCTTGCCTGGAGGAGGAAAGACTTGCTGGGGGCTGACCCCAGGGACAGCGTGTCCCAACAGGCTGCCCCAGCACCGGGCCCACGCCAGCATACAGTGGGCACTCTATCAGTGCACAACACGAGAGAACCCCTCTGGGATGCTGGTCTCCCCGTCAGCCCGGGACACAAGCAAGAGTTGGGACAGACACTGCTCCAGGAGGACCTTCAGGAGACTCAGCAAACCATCAGGGTCCCCATATGTCCCGCGAGGTGGGACAGCAGCGACGGACACTGCCCTCCCCTTCCTCCACTCATAGCCGGGAGGCATCTGTCCCCAGGGGGCTGGGTTCCAGAGACAGACTGGGGGTCCTGTGCACCTGTGAGGTTCAGACCCAGCCAGCGGCTAGCTCAACAAGCACGTGACAGCTCTGGGTGAGAGGGGCCTGTGGGGACGGATCCTGCCCAGCAGCCCCAGTGTAGATGGGTGCCTGGCTCTGGCCTCCCCTGAAGCAGAGTCCCTGGCTCAATCAGGGTCCAGCCAGGTGCTGGTGTCCCTGGAGGAGGGACTGTCAGCAGCCTCAGTGAGAGAGAGGCATTCAGATGCTGGGCCAACTGACCAGAATTACTGCCAAACTAGGGAAGAAAGTCTCCCAGTTTCTTTACCGTGAAGTTACAATTTTGGCTAAGCTCTTGGAGCGGGTGTTGTTGGGGGATGGGCGGCGGGGGGGGAAAGCTCCACAGAAGGTGCCCCCAGTCCTGCCTCCCATGAGCCCTTGGGGCAGGCAATGCGGGGCACATGGAAGGACCACCAAGGCCTAGAGGCCAGAGGAGGGTTGCCCCGTCCAGAGAGTGAACAGCGGTGGCGGAGCGGGAGCAGGGAGGTTTTGGTGCTTCCTTCCTCCAAGGGTCAGCATGGGCAGCAAGGCTGGCCCACCCCACAACAGGTCCAGGCTCCGCCCAGGAAGGTGGCTTCCCCTCCCAGACTCTCAGCTCCCCCTGTAAGAATGGGGTATTGAGATTCCGGCCCGATATACAGCAGACACCACAGAGGAGCATCCTGAGACACAGGATGGAGCTGACAAAAAGAGGAAATGGAGGTTCCGTGAGGGAACCCCGTGTCGCCCGTGAGCCCGGTGGGCACAGAGCAGGGACCGGAATCTGTGTGCCGGGCCCGCACAGCAGCGGGACCCCCCGGGGAGCCAGAGCAGGCTGGGGCCCACAGCGCGGCCCGGGGAGCTCTGCACTATGCCCACCTCCCCGCCAGCTCGCTGGGCAGGCCTGGGTGCCACATGGCAGGCCTGGGACCCAGCTGGGCTCTGGGCTCTGCTGACCAAGCCCAGCCGTGAGAAACTGCGCACATCAGGAAAAAGCGGGAGGAAGGAACAGGCAGAAGGAAGCAGACCCCCTACAGGGGCACAGGCCACCCCAGGCCACACATGGGATGGGCCTTCACCCTGCTGGTCTGGGAAATGGGCACAAACTCCCACCACACAGACTGTCCCTGGCGCCATGCACGGCCCAGCTCCCACCGTGCACCCAGTCCCGCGGACCCTCACAACCACGCACTCACGCGCCCCCACAAGCCACGGTGCCCTGGCAGGTCCATTCGTGCCAGGCCTCACGTGCCCGTCTGCAGGTTGGGGAGGCTGCCGGGCCCCAGGAGCCAGGCAAGGCCTTACCACGTGCTACACGGAAAATGCTGTGAGGGTCCCGGTCTCGCAGTCAGGACACTGAGGCTCCGGAAGGGACAGTCCTCACCTGGGTCCCGGTGGGAGGGACTCAAGCCCAGACTGCCTGAATCCTGACCTTCGCAGCCCCCCTCAGAAGCGCCCAGCCCGGCTCGGACTGCCTCCCTGAGCTGCCAGGACTCCCGAGCCCGCTCTCCTGCGGGCAGCAGGCCACGGCCACCCGCGTCCTGTGCTCTGGGGGAGCCCGCCAAAGTGCAGGGGCCCTGAGCTCACGCCCCACACCCTGAGGACCACAGGGGAGCATGGGGGGGCCGGGGCCACGCGGACACTCACCTCCAAGCCCGGGGCCCAGGAATGTGGACGAAGACAGGCTGCCGTGGGGCTCGCTGAAGTGCGTGCCATCCCCGTAGGTCTGTGAAGGCAGAGGCCATGAGGGGGCTGGGGACACGGGCTCCAGGAGGCAGGCATGCCCGTGAGTGCCCAAGTCAGGGCTGGCACCTGCATCTCTGGGCCCAGGAGACCAGGCTGGCCTCTGCCTCCCCGGCGAGCCTCAGTTTCCCATGTATTCCCCACCCCGGAGAAGGGAAACCCAGGTCTCGGGCCTCACAGAAACTCCTTACCCGGCTGGGGTCAAAGGAGGAGTTGTTCTGGTCACCAGTGGCCCAGGAGCCCGAGCTGGGCCGGTCCTCCAGCCCTGCAGGCAACAGAAGAGAGTCAGGGCACCCTCACCCCCAGCCTGTTCCCAAGCCAGCTGTGGCTCCCAGCAGTTCAGGGAGAAGACCGGGCCCTTCCTGACCCAGCCCGGCCCTCACTCTGCCCCTATCTAGAACTGCCAAGGGGCGCCCGGCGGGCTCAGTTGGGAAGCGCGGAGCTCTCCGTCTCAGGGCTGTGAGTTAGAGTTCTACGTTGGGTATAGCTGTTCCTTAAAAATAGGTTTTTTTTTCCTTAAAAATTTTATCTGTTTAGAAGACACAGAGAAAGATGCAGAGAGAGACACAGAGGAAGATGCAGGCTTCTAAATGTGGTGCTCGATCCTGGGGCCCTGGGATCATGACCTGAGCCGGAGGCAGACGTTCAACCAACAGAAACAGCCAGGTGCCCTAACAGTAAATCTTGAAAAACAAAACAAACAGCTTCCCCAGACACCCTGGCACTCAGTACACCTTCAGGCCTATAGTTCAAAAAGCAATTCTACTAGCTACATCTGCCAACAAACTCCTACCCGTCCATCAAAGCCCCAGCCATGATGCCCATCCTGGGCTGAGCCCTCTCAGAGCCTCCTCCCCGCAGCACCTCGTTTCTCCCTCAGCCTAGCACTGACCACGAGGGACTGGGGGCATCTGTACCAGGCTCAGTCCCTCAAGGGCACCGTGAAATCTCAGGTCCGGGAAGTGGGGGTCTCTCCCTTCCCATCCCAGACAACTCAGGACGCAGAGCCCCTCCTTTGTTGAAGTAACAACTCAGCTGCCACTACCTTCCAGGGCCAAGCTGGCAGCCCCTTTGGGGTTAAGGGGCCCCAGTGAGGAGAGGCCCATGGTGCAGCAGGAGTTAACTCACAGGGCAGAAGATCAGGTCTGGAGCTCCGGGTGGGGCAGGGTGGGACCCTTATCTCCCCCAGCAGTCCGGGACACCACCCAGGACTCCCCCAGCCAGGAGGCACAGCGCCTTCCCAGGCCGGGCTCTACCCCGTCCACAGGAGGCAGCAAGACAAGACAATGTGGCCTGACAAACACATGTGGGGCAGGTCCTGGGCTCCCGCCGGCCCCAGCACCGGCCCTCTGTCCCGTTTCTCTCCTCTGGAACAGGAGGGTGGACCACCGCACTCTGCAGGCCCCAAGGAAGCCCAGGACCGGGGGAGAGGGACCTGTCCCCAGCCCCTCGACCATGCCGTGACCCCACACAGCTGAACTCAGGGAAGGCATTGGGAACCCCGGCGAGAACCCTTGGGCTGGCCCACCCCCAACCCGCTCAACCTAATCGGAAACTTCTTCTGAACTTCATGCTGCCGCAATGCTTCTGTGTCAGTCATCATCCCCCCCAAACTAACGTTTAATGGCTGCCTGATTTGCATAATTATGCATATTAATCCCTGCACCTAATGAATATGCATATGCCACATTTAGATTTTATTTTCTAATCAAAAATTTCCACCGTGATTGCAGCAGGGGGCTGCCTTAGCAGGGGTCGGGGGGTCGTGCGCACCCAGCGGGGGCTCCTGTGGTCCCAGAGTCCAGCAGGCATGCCACCAGGTTTGCAGAATCCGCACGAGGGAGTGGAGTAGCAGCCCGTCAGGCAGGGGTGACCTTGGGCAATGTACCCGCAGCAAAAGCCTCCCTTTCCCTCTACAGCTGCTTGCCTACCACCTCTCTCCTTCTGGAGCGGCCCCCCCACAACGTGCCCCTGGAGGGGCCAGGACCCTGCCACGGTGAGCAGGCAGGCCACATGCCAAGACCACAACAGACCACGTCTGAGGGCAACTCCAACTGGGTGCCCGCAGCCTACCCCTGTGTGAAGGGCACCCAGGGGCCCCCACAAGCTGCCGGCTTCCCTTTCTGGGGAAACCCTCACCGGCCCCCTCCCCTCGAGATGTCAAAACTAGGGACGGCCCCTCCCCCACCACCCCACTCACCGTTATTAAGCCCCCCACCCGTTAATCGTACGTTTTAATAACCATTATGAATATTCATAACATTCCTTGTTCATGTTCTAATTAAAACGTACTAATAGAACCAAACACAGCCGTCGGAATGCAATCTTTTCACGCCTTTCTTCTCCAGAGGGCGTGTTTCTGGGGGCAGTGGAGGCTGCTTGGGGCGGGAGGGGCCGGGCCAGGGCTGAGGGCACTCTGCGAGGGCCCACACACGGCAGAGCCCAAGGGCTCAGCGGGGGCGGGGGGGAAGGAGCCGTGCACCTGCCCCTTGCAGCGACCCCGATGGAGGACCAGGCCCAGGCCGCAGGGTGAGCAGCCCGCCCTCCACGAGGCCCGGGCCCCTCCCCCGCAGGCCTTACCCCGAGACAAGGGGACTCAGAGGGGCCCCCCCACAGACACTGGTGGCCCGTCCTCTGCCAGCAACTGCAGCCCAGATACCACGGCAGCCCCCCCCAAAGCCCCCTGACACTCCCTGCACCTCCCGCTTTCCTAGGGGGTTACTGCCATGCGACCGTGCACACTTGTTCCCTGAACAAGGGCACACGAGCAGCTGGCCCCTTGTGGAGCAGCTCGGCCAACGTCAGTAGGAAGGAAGATTCCTGAAGCTGGCAACGCCGTAGGAAGCAGCCCCGACCAGGGACCAGGGCTGGGCTTACACTGTGGGGCAGGCAAAGCCCAGGTGGTCATGAGCCCGGCTCCGGGAGTGCACCTTCCCCTAGATGCCCAGCTGAACCCCCAGAGCGGCTGCCCTCCTTCCTCCCTGCCGGCCGGTCAGAGCCGCCCTTCCCTGCCCTCCCCCCACGCCTTCCCTGCGTCGACCTGCAGCAGCGTCCCCCACCAAGTGGGGTTTCCTCCCACACTCCAAACCCAGGAACTTGAGGAAGCCCCCCCCCACCCGCCTGCCACAAACCGTGGCTCCGCCCCCCAGCAGCCTCCGTGGCGCCGACCACCCTTCACCCCGCAGCTCATCCCTGACCAGCCCCAAACCCGGAGTGGAACCCCCCGCGCACCCTGAGCTCTGCCCCGTCAGACCCCACACCCGCAGACTCCTCGCCCTCCTCGGGGGCTGTCGCCTTCCCGTCCCCTCCCAGCCCAGGGTCCTCTGGGTCTTCTTGGCATGGCCCACGCAGGGCCGGCCCCCCAGAAACAGCCTTGGCAACATCCGGGCCTCCCTCCCTCGCTGGACCTGCCCCACGGGCCCGTCTCCCCGAGGGCTTCCGCGGGGCCACGCTGCCTGCCGGCCCGTCCCCACCTGGCGCGGCTGCTCGTCAACGACGTGGCCAGTGTGCGTGGCGGCGGGAAGGACCTTCCGCTTCTGTGTGACCTTCAATAACGTAAACGCAGGTGACCGTCTGCGGCCCGTGGTGGCTGTGCCGGACAGCGTGGGCCCAGAAGCGAACGACGGAAACGGAGCCACCGCTGCAGCTGCCGAGGCGGCGTCGGAACGCGGTCGGAGGGCGTCGGAGGATGCCGGAGAGCGGCCACTGCGCAGGCGCTCACGGAACTCCTTCCTCCTCGCGGTTCCCCGGGCCGCCCCCGAGCCCCACGCAGCCCAGCGCTCTCTGGCTCTTCCCGCTCACCATCGGCCGCCCCCAAACGGCGGGCGTGCGTCAGGGAGCCCCGCTGGGGGCGGCACAAGAGGTCTGGCGGAGGGTCACGATCGCCGCGAGGGTGGCCACGGGGGCAACCCTTCCTCCGCGGGGCTCTCCTCCTGGGACTTCAGGATTAACTATTTTTTTTTTTTTTTTTAAAGACTTATTTGAGGGAGGGCGGGGCTGAGAGAGAGACTCTGGAGCAGACGCCGTGCTGAGTGTGGATCCCGATGTGGGGCTCGAGCCCACGACCCCCGAGATCAGGATCTGAGCCAAAACCAAAGTCAGACGCTCACCTGGCGGAGCCTCCCAGGCGCCCCGGGTGTCAACGCTGACATTCCTGTACCATTTCAAAACCTGCGGGGGCACACCACCCCGGCTCACTCAGCCCACCCAGCCCACATCCCCGCCCCTCTGCTTTATCCTTTGCCTTCTGCTCACGCGCAACAACGCTTCCCTGTCTGGCCCGCACAGCTTCAGAGTTTAGTAAGTTCTCCAGACCTGGCTGTGACCAGAACATCGAAAAGGGTCAGAAGCAGGTTACAGGGGCGCCTGGGTGGCTCAGTGGGTTAAAGCCTCTGCCTTCGGCTCAGGTCATGGTCCCAGGATCCTGGGATGGAGCCCCGCATTGGGCTCTCTGCTCAGCGGGGAGCCTGCTTCCCCCTCTCTCTCTGCCTACTTGTGATCTCTGTCAAATAAATAAATAAAATCTTAAAAAAAAAAAAAAAAAGCAGGTTAGAGAACATCACCGACAGCACGCGAAGAGGCAGGTGCCAGGCAGGCCCAGGACCCCGGGCACATCCGCCGGAGCCTGGGGGCAGGAAAGCAGGGGCCCCCTTGCAACCCGAGCGCAAGTGGACTGGAGACGGAAGAGGAAGTGAGTAGAGGCCACGCCCCACCCCCTCTAAGAGTAGGAGGACCCCCAACCTGGGGTTTCCCAGGTGGCAGAGCCAGCCCCACGTAAGGCATAAGGCGGGTCCCACACACGTGGTAATTCACAGAGGAACGGGCCCACAGGGCTACGCTGCGGAGGGTGCCCTCCCTCCCCCCTCCCCCGAACTTCAGGAAGACGCCCAACCAGTTTCAGGCTCAAGGGGGCCCATGTGGAAGCCGAGTGTGGGGAAGGGAGGACCTGCCCCCAACGTGAGCCCAGAAGCCAACCCGGGGCTTCCAGGCAAGAATGGACAGAAGACAGAGACACGCCAAATGTGGACAGGGGGGCCCGGATTTGGGGTGTATCTCGCAAACAGACCACCCAAGGCGGCAGCCACCAGGCACCCTTAAGGGAGTCTGGGAGCAGAAGAGACTTGAGAGAATAAGGGTGAGAAAGCAGAAAACGCGAGCCGAGCGGCAGCCCCAGCAACACGAGGAGACTTGGACGGGCAGCAGCTGAGGCAGCGGCGTGCAGAGCGGCCACGTAGCAAGGGCGTCCACCGCGGCAGGGACGGTCGG